GATTTCGTTATGCTGCAGGACTTACACTCACTTGAGCTTTGTAAGGGCTTTTTATTTATTTGGAATAAAAGCATATGGTTTGCAGACCATGCCAGAAAATCAAATCCTAACCATCTATACTTGCTCCAGTGAAACTCAAAGACTTCCCTGGATTTTCTTTTCCTCATTCTCTGAATTTTAATCTGTGTTTTTAGCCTTTGAGTTAACTGAGAAGCCTTTTCGTTCTGTGCACTAAGCACATTCCTTCAAAGCCGCAGGCATCCACTTCTCATTGGATTTATGACAATCACAACATCGGCATGCAGGTATTAAAAACACTCCATTTGCTTTTCCCATCACACCTCTGGTTACCTCAGGGAACCCCTCTTCGGTAGAAAAGGAGTAAAGGTAAATTTCTGCCATCCAAACCATGTCCAACTACTCCAGGGTATTCTGCAGTCATGTACCTTTTCTTCTGCACATTTCTACAGCTCTAGCTATTGAGTCATACTAGGAGTTTTGCTTTCCAGAAGAAGGTGGAGTTTCAATGAAAAATGGTTCCAACACACAGCAGCCCAGAGGAACTTCCCTTCTGCAGAACAGCCCCCTGCCCACTAGGATACTCCTTTCTGTAGCCTGATGAGTTTATGAATTAAATGATTTTCAAGGATGGAATGTCCTGAGAGCATTCTAAACTTTACGGTACTTTACCCTTTGACACACAACATAGATCATTCTAAGTATTTAATATTTAACACAATGGAGTCAGTGCCTTTGTAAAAAGAGCTAAAAAGTTTTAAAATTTGCTTTGTTTTCCTATCGGCACGATGCCATACATAAATGGGTGGATCAGAGTTCAAAGTAAAATAGTGAAGACTAAGAAAAATAAAGAATAAAAGAGGTAAAGGATCTCAGGAAGCTTGTGAGAAAGGGCAAAAATCCTTTTCTCTGTGTTGCCTCTTTGTAGCTGGTCGTTGGGCAGACCGTTCTGTGAGACTAGAGATGATAACAGCAGGAGAGGAAAATGAAAAGCGTGGTCTTTGCAACTAAAAACCATTAATTTAGGTTCAAGTACAATAAAAGTGCATGGCCTCTCATTCTGACAGTTACATAATTAGCAATATTTCTAATGAAACAAGCAACTTACACTACACTTATTAAAAAATTTTTATAAAAAGTTGATAGGCTTTAAATTGATTAATGCATATATCTATACTCCTAATGCTCCATTTTAGGCCCATTAAGAAAATAAAATTACTTTTCCCATGCTTCCCTATTATAGTAAGTAGACTCTCATGGACTCATGGCTACCAAACATAATTAAGTCATTTGAGTTCCTGGGCAGAGAGGACTGGAACTATATAAAGAGCCATTAAAATTCAAGTGACGAAGTCATTCAATATATGTATTTTATTGCCATAAAGCATATCATTGTTTTCTCATCTTGAAATAGTATACACTATTTTGCAAAGCTGAGAAACAGTGCGTTTCTTCTGCTTTTATAATTCAAACGTCGTTCTCAAAGTTTGCAAAGCTCACTGAAGTAACCACACTAACAGTGAAGCGGGGCTTGCTTGTTTTGCTTTTAAGGAAAGTATGTATGTTTGAGCATAACTGTCATGATGGTTTTAAAAACAGGTATGTATAAACTAGAGGCAATATAGTACTACATCCTTTTTACCAAAGTATTTTCTACTTGTAGCGAAAGAAAGGAAAAGGGATGACAGTTACCAGTCACTATGGAAACCATGGAAGGGTAAGCTAAAGAGAAATTTAAACATATACTAAAAAAAAAAAGTACAGAGAAAAGTATGTATAGTAGGAAGACTTTAATACAGCAGTGGACAGATCTTCCTAATCATGAAGGCTGTGAGAACTACAAAGAAGTATTATGTTTTCCTGTGGAGATTAAAAACTCCATTTAGATATAATATTACCTAGAAAAAAGGGAGCTGGCTTAGCTAATGCCTTGAGATTCCCATGCTTCTTTCACTAGCATGGAGGGGAAAAGACAGGGGGAAAAAAAAAGGACTCTGGACCAAGCCTATAGGTAAAACCCTCAGCCTGTCTACCTGAGTCCTTTGGGGACGAGGCAGTTTTGAATAGCTGAGTTCTCAGGACAGTTATATGTGTATCATTCTGAGAACTGAGGTTTTCTTGCTTCGTTTAGATTTTATGTATTGATTTCTGGCTGCGCTGGGTCTCTGTTGCTGAGCGGGCTTTTCTCTGGTTTTGAAGAGCGGGGGCTATCCCTAGTGTGGTGTGTGGGCTTCTCGTTGCAGTGGTTTCTCGAGCCGTGAAGCAAGAGCTCCAGGGCCCTGGAGCTTCAGCATGTGGGGCCCATGGGCTCACAGGTTCCAGCTCCTGGGCTCCAGAACACAGGCTCAGTAACTGTGCACAGGCTTAAGCTGCTCCGAGGAATGTGGGATCTTCCTGGGTCAGGGACTGAACCCGTGTCTCCTGAATTGGCAGCTGGATTCTTTACGACTGAGCCACCAGCGGAGGCCCCTAAGAATTAAAATTTTCAGTAAAAGTACTACTAAAAATGTATTTAAGTTCCCTGATCTTTTTTCCTCTTCCTTTAGACTTCAAAAAAAATTTTTAATACAAGTTAAACTCAGTATAGAAATTAAGAAGGCAAAGAAAGTCATAATCCTACCACCCAGAAACCATCAGGTAACATTTTCTCTCAGTTCCTTAAATAGAGTGTTTTAGACAGAGTTCAAGGTTATAAAATAATGGGATCCTCAGTCCACATAAGTATATTCTAAAGCCCTACACTAAACATTTTATATGCACTGTCTCATGGTCTCTACAAGCTAATGACACAGGTGTTATTATTCCTGTTTTAGAGATGAAGAAAACAAAGCTTTGAGAATTTATTAAGGATCCATCAGTTCAGTTCAGTTCAGTCGCTCAGTCGTCTCCAACTCTTTGCGATCCCATGAATCACAGTATGCCGGGCCTCCCTGTCCGTCACCAACTCCCAGAGTCTACTCAAACCCATGTCCATCGAGTCGGTGATACCAAGGATCCATAAGAAGCCACAAAAACTAAATTTAAATCCTTTTGTCCATTCCCAAAGACTGATTTCTCATAGGATCATACCTAAAGGGCAACATACTGTTATACATTTCAAGGATTCCCACACAAGCATCCTTTACACACTTTTTAAAAAATTATTTTAATTGGAGGCTAACTACTTTACAATATTGCTTTACACACTCTTAATGATTTTTCAAACTTTCCTTAGTATCAGGTTCTCATCTTCCGGTTTTCACAAAAGTGTATTTTCTTCTTATAGTATCCACACCACTTTCTAGTTTGCTGTTTTAAATTTACTCAAGCTTGGAAACATCAATAACAAAATAAACTCATGAATTTGTGAAACAGAAAGGAGACTTCCAATGGGTGAAGTATATGTAGACTTTGTAATTACATATATTGATTATTCCCTACTTACAGAGCTGTTCTGAGAAATGAGATGTTACTATTCTGGCTTTGAGACTTAAGAGCTATTATATACTTAAATAGCTACTATACTTAATAGCGCATGCATCAGCAAATCCTGAAAAATATGCACACTCATAACCCAAAATGTTTTAATAAACATTTAGATAGTTACAGATGGAAAGGCATATCCCAGAGTCAAGAAACCTGGTCATATAGGAGAGTAGAATAGTGGCTGCATCTGCAGAAAATATGTTCATCTACAAACATATACAAAATATGTTCATCTATAAACTACAAAAATATAAATGTGCCATAAAACATAAAACAAAGAAGGCAGAGAAGCGGGTCAGGGTGTGGAACGTTCGAACAAGAAAAGGAAGAGACTCATTAGACGCTCAGTGGGGAAGAAAAGTGAGTCCCAGATTCAAAAGAAAGACTGCTCCCAACTCTTTCCGGCCTACAAAAGCAAAGACCACCAGAAAGAATAACACAGCACAGAGCCTGGGGACAGGGGCTTTTGTTCAGCCATCAACTCTCGTCTGACTCTTCATGACCCCACGGCCTGCAGCACGTCAGGCCTCCTTGTCCCCCACCATCTCCTGGAGTCTGCCCAAGTTCATGTCCACTGCATCAGTGCTGCCATCCAACCAGCTCATCCTCTGTCGTCCTCTTCTTCTCTGGAGAAGGGAATGGCAAACCACCCCAGTATATTTGCCATGAGAACCCCATAAACTGTAATAAAAAGACAAGGGGAGTTTGATACAAATTTTAAAAAAAGAGGCTAACACATGCTTTGTTGTTTTGCTTGGGATAAGAATAGTGGATCTAGAGGAAGAAAAAAGTTGCCCTAAGGAGACACAAGGATATTATTTCAATTTTGGCTGGAGTCAGCCCTGCTTATCTCCACTCAATGTGGACAAATAAGAAGGCTCACAGAGCTATTTTTATTGTATAAGTTTGGCAGGCATGTTGCTTTTAACCCGATGACATATACTACAACTTCATGTAATATGTAAAGTTTCCTCTTATTTGTGAGGTTAACATGAAAGCTTCATTAATCAAGTGATCACTATAATTAAAAATTATCTGAGTACAGTTTCCTTACAGTTATTTTGCAAGTGCATATGTTTTTCCACACTTGTATGGAAAAAAGACGCCTGCAAGGGGATGATGGGTGGCAGTTTCAATTGTGCTTTTCTTCCACTGGCCTGTTTCCTGCTAGGCTCTCTCTTAAGGGAAAGAAGCATGATGCCACTCTGACTTGGAAATCTCTAACTCTCAGGGGGCGACGTAGAACAGAGCTGAGACGACTGCTTGGAGTCTGACGTTTCCGAAGGCCTTCCACGGGATGAGAACTTCAGAACGAGGTTTGGGATGCCTATTTAAGGCTGAGCCCCATTTTCCACCCTTCCACGCAACCTTCTCCTTCAGGCTGCGACTCTGTCAGTCCTCCTGAACCCCCGTACCGTGTCCCTGAGACCGACCTGACACGTCGGCATCTGAACTGCTCAGGCTGATAGCTTACAGTCACCCACTTAAAGACAACACAAAACAAAAGTCAAGTTTCATTTAAGGCAGAAGGGAACTTTGCCGGGAACGTAGTAAGCATGGCCTCCCTTTGCCCTCTTTATGCTTTATTCAAACAGAATTTTAAAAGTGACGGTAATTTATATCTAGATAATTAAGAACTGATTACAATATGCCTGCAACCATTGTTTATAAATGTTGAATGGCAGTGTGTCTCTCAGATGCTTTGGTAATAGGGAAAAAAATGAATCCTTGATAAACTACAATACATTCACACAAATCTGAGTACTATTTAAGCTTATTGGCATGGCAACTTAAAGTTAAGCAACAAGGCAACTACTTAGTATAGTCACAGCCAAATAAAACACATGAACCGCCTAAACAATGCTGCATCTAAAAAATTCATCTTCACTTCCCACTACTCTGTGGCTATTAACACCATGGTGTGCTTTAAAGTCAAAAACACTAAATTGTCTAGAAATACTCAGAATAGTAACAGAATCACACCATGAACTTTATTTTTAAGTTTAGATCAATGAGGAGGAAAACAATAAACCAGTCAGAAAAAGCACCAAAAAACAGTCATTTACATACACAGAGGATTCGAACCGTACAGGTTCACCTTCAGTTGACTCAGTCCTATTTACACATTTACAATACAAACTACATCTTAACTCAAGAGGCTGATCATACCAGCACCGAGAGAGAAATGTCACTCAGCCCGGTATCTTGACATAGGGAAAGGAATTTTATGAAATCTCTATATATTTATCACTATCAATTTAAAAAATTGATTTTGAAAAACAACTGCTGCCTGTCACCAATTCACAAGTGTTCGGCCGGAAGAAAACAAACTGGGACTACTTGATGTTGCGCACGCGTATCACCAATTCACAACTGATTCGGCCGGAAGAACACAAGCTGGGCCTACTTGATGTTGCGCACGACTCTCCTGCAGTGGTTTGTTTTCACCTCCTCCAAGGCCTGTTCCAGCTGCTGAGCCAAGTGCAGCAGGGTGGCTGGGTCTGTCTGCAGAACGTGGGTGTTGTGACCTCCATTCTGATTAAGGTGGAGCTTTATAGTCACTGATGGTTTAATCTGTTGTCTGAGGCTTCTGCTTGCAAGCTTAGTTTTAAATGGAATAAGAGCATAATGACTACTTAACAATCATGCTGAACATATGTATAATGACATTATACCATACACAAAAATTGAATTTCAGATGAATCACAGACTTCAAAATGAACAGTAAACTTTAAAATCTTTGGGGGGAAAAAAAATCTTTGGGGGTAAAAAACAAAACTACAATGTATATGTAGTTATACAGTATGGAAGGGTTTCTTAAACATGATATAAAAACAAAAATCATAAAGAAAACTGATAAACTGAAATACATTAAAATTATTAAAATTTCTTAGAAAGATTTCTAAAAATAGTGGAAAAAAACAAACTCAGAAAGATACTCTGTAACACATAAAACCAAAAACAAGTATCAAGAATATATGAAGAAGTGCTCTGATTTAATAAAAACACCACAAAACCAAGAAACTTGTACAGAAGACCTATGAAAGCACTTTTCAGAAGTAATATTAAAATAGGTAAACACGGGAAATACATTACATTCAACTTTATTAGAAATCAGGAAAATGGCCAATAAAATCATGCTGCTTATCAGACTGGCAAGAATTAGAAACCTGCCCATAAGGAGCACTGCAAAGTGATGGTAATGAAAATTCATCCACTGCTGGTGAGAGTGATGAAAGAATTACTTTGGAAAACAGATAAATTACCAGCAATTCCACTCCTAGGTACATACCTTAAACTCTTACACATATACACAGATTCATAATAGTATTTGTTTCCAAGAGCCAAAAGCTAGACACATCTCAAATATTCTTTACCAACAGAATGGATAAATTGAGAATATCCATACAATGAAATGCTTACTAAATGACTGGGAAAAGAAGTAAACTACAGCAACCTGAACTGTCATCAACAAATCTAACAAGAAAATGTTTAATCAAAAAAGCAAGTTGCATATGCCTTCAAGGAGCCTATAATCTGCTTTATACATTCTCCCGAGTTAATACGTATGCAAGCAGTCAACACACTGGGATACAATTGCTAAGCTTGTCTAGCTGATTTTCTATAACCTATCTGGACCACTCAAATCAGGAAGAATCTACTATTACAGCAGTTTACAAACATTATTACACATTAGAATTACCGAGGTGACAAGGGAGCTTTAAAAAATCCTGTTGCCCAGTTAAACTCTGTACCAATACATCAGAACCTCTGCGGCAGAACACAGGTATCAGAATTCTTTTAAAGCTTCCTAGATCATTTCAATGTGCAATCAAGTTTGGGAACTAGGGAGCTATCCCACATATTCATTTGTTCATTCTCAGATTCATGTGGGCCTTTACAACTTATGCTGTCTCCTCTCTCAATAATATTACCCTGGTTTTCTCCATCCATTTCTTTTTCTGAAATTTACCCTTCTTTTATTGATGCTTTTCTGGATCATGCCAATGTACACTGAACTACCTGAGATACAGCTTTTCTGAAATACTCAGAAGTATCTTTATTTATACAATTATATTCTTTTTTCCTCTCCAGAACCTTATTTCACAACTATCTTTAATTACTAGTTATTTTGAGACATCTAATATCACTAAACAAATAATATCTTTTCCAGCTGAGAAAGTGTCTTACAATTCTTATGGTTCCCAAAGCATTCAGCACAGCCCTAATCAGTGACTGGATGGCATTCAATAAATATCTCTTAACTAGCTTATCTGTCACTGCTTGAGAAAGGCTGCATGCAATAGTCTGAAAACTCCTTTTTGGTTGTGTATGTGGCTTTAAAAACAACCCAATCTCATAAAAAGAAAGCAGACATAGAAGAATATTTATTGAATCAGTTCATGAATAGAAAGTTACAGAGCAGAAAAAAGTAATCTGTGCATTAAGAGACAGGATGCTGGTTACCTTTGAAAAGAAGGATGGGGAAGTAACTTGTAGAAGGCAAGAAGGATGCTTCTGAGGTGCTGATCATGGGTGCTGGTTTCATGGGTGTTTTTACCACATGATAATTCATTGGCTATATACTGACTTGTGTACTTTTCTATAAATGCGCTTTATTTAGACAGAAAAAGGTTTTCTAAAAGCACCACTTTAAAAATTTAGATAACCATCTGCTTTTCCAAAATAACCTATTTCTTACAAACTTCACAAATTAAACCAATATGAACATATTAAAAATATAAGAGAATGGAGAATTCCCTGACGGTCCAGTGGTTAGAACCCAGCACTCTTACTGCCAAGAGCCTGGGTTCAATCCTTGGTTGGGGAACTAAGATATCCCACAAGCCTTGTGGTGTGGTTAGAAAAAAAAAAAAGAAAATGAACTATTTGTGAAATGGTCTAAAAATGGACATTAAAAAACTGAAGTTTCAAACCAGAATTTGGTTAAGGTGGTAAAGAATACAACAAGTGTGAAAGACATAAGTCTAAAATAAATTTTATATTCTAGGTCAGATTTTTTAAAAAAAAGTCATACCTGTACATCCAGTCGCCATTCAAGGCTGTGGTAACTGGGAAGGTCTGGTGCCAATTCATTCAGGATAGTTCTGATCTCCTTTCTGTTGTCCAGATAAAGCTGAAGCAACAACTTGTTCAATTCTTCAGGAAATCCAAGAACAAAAACAGAGTCTTGGAAATCTAGTTCAGAAATCTAAAAATGAATCAAGTTTATCAAAATTTATTTGTGTCTAATAAATGCTGAAATACTGGATATACACAAAAAAATATGAATTCCATTCTGTCTAGTAAAAGAAACAACACTCCTGAGTAAAAGGCAACCCCTGTCCACTCTTCCAAACTCTGAGTTTCTGATACATAAAAATAAAAATAAGCAACAAAAGCAAAAATAAACGAGTGGGACTACTTCAGATAAAAGGCTTCTGCACAGCAAAGGAAAACATCAACAAAATGAAAAGGCAACCTAAAGAAAAATCTGCAAATCACGTATCTGATACACAATAGCAAAATAGATAAATAAGTAAATAAACCGATCAACAATCTGATTAAAAAATGGGCAGAAGATCTGAATTCACATTTTCCAAAGAACAGATACAAAAGGCCGACAGGCACATGAAAAGATGCTCAACATCACTACTCATCAGGGAGATGTAAATCAAAGTGATGAGATATCACTTCACATCCACTAGAACGGACAGTACCAAAAGGACAAGAAACAGGTGTTGGTAAGGCTGTGGAGAAAAGGGAACTCTTGTACACTGTTGGTAGGAACATAAATTGGTGCAGTCACTATGAAAAACAGTATAGGGGTTCTTCAAAAAATTGAAAATAGAACTACCATATGATCTAGCAATTCTACTTCTGGATGTTTATCCAAAAAAACCAAAAACATGAATTCGAACAGAAACATGCACCCTCATGTTCACTGAAGCATCTATTTACAGTGGCTAAAACGTGAGAACAAACTAAGTATCCATTGAAGGATGAATGCATAGGGAAGTTGTGACATATATACACAGTGGAATATTACTCAGCCATAAAGAATGGAATTTGCCATTTGCAACAACATGGATGGAACTTGAGCCTATTAGGCTAAGTGAATTAAGTCAGACAGAATAAGAAATACTGTATGATTTCTCTTACAGGTCAAATCGAAGACAAACCAAAAACAAAGCCCCAGCAAACTCACAGATACAGAGAACAGATGGTGGTCGCCAGAGGCAGGGAGCGGGTGGAAGAAAACGGTCTGGGTAAATCTCAGTGGGATACTCAGATGCGGACTGAACACAGGAAAGTCACGTGTGTGGCCAGGAAAGGGGGCCACAGGAGAGAAGGACATGGAGTCCCAGTCTGTGGCTCTCCAGTGGAGCAACATTGTTGGGGACCAAGCCAGCCTGACACTGACTCTCAGTAAGATGAAAGGAGACTGCCCACAGCAGGCTTGCTTCTGCTCCCTATCGGATAACCCACATGAGGAGGGCAAACAGGCAGCGAAAAAGGAGAGGAAGCAGCATTCTTTCTCTGTTTCTCTTCCCGTCATCGTCTTCACCTCAGCCACCTTAATGCTCTACTTTGCCTGCTCTTTGCCAGTTTCTGCATGCCACCCTTTTTGGGAGGGGACTTCACTGTCATTAGACTTGTTTCTGTTTGTAATAGCACAGGCTTAGGTTACCTGGTCCCTTTAGCAAGTACTTCCTGAGATCCTGCGATGGGACAGGTCCCATGCTAGGAAGACAGAACTGAATAAATCAAATGGGCTCATTGCTGGTGTGGAGGGCTTCTAGTCTTTGGGGCCAGGTGGTTTAGGTGTGTTGACCAATCACATCAGGTAGTCTCTCCGACGATTCAACCCGACTAAATCTAAGAGCAAGAGGCTAGAGGTCTATTGCGAGGAGGAGGGCAGCCAGGAAAGCTCTGAAGAGGGCCAGAAAAGATCACCTCAGGAAGCAAAAATGAGTTCCCCATGTCAACTAACGGAACACAGATTTATGTGACAGAGCATCTGCTGTGAAACATCTCTAAGTGTAACATTTTAGAAAGTCTGACAAAAGGGATCTATAAAACATATTTTTATGCAGTTAACCACTCAAATAATCTAATTATTTCACCCTAATTATTAGGGTGAAACACCATAACTCAATAAGCCACACTCTGTCTTTCATCACTTCCACCATGAGGATTTGCTATCAAAATGTTAAGCCTTTAGGGTAGTTTCCCAAATTTACCTGATCTTAAGAATCATTTAGCCTTTTTGGCTCTCTGAGCTGTACCATGGCGGTAGGCAAGAACAAGCGCCTTACGAAAGGAGGCAAAAAGGGAGCCAAGAAGAAAGTGGTTGACCCATTTTCTAAAAAAGATTGGTATGATGTGAAAGCACCAGCTATGTTCAATATAAGGAATATTGGGAAAACATTGGTCACGAGAACTCAAGGAACCACAATCACGTCTGATGGCCTCAAAGGTCGTGTTTTTGAAGTGAGTCTTGCTGATTTGCAGAATGATGAAGTAGCATTTAGAAAATTCAAGCTAATTATTGAGGATGTTCAGGGCAAAAACTGCCTGACTAATTTTCATGGTATGGATCTTACCTGTGACAAAATGTGCTCCATGGTCAAAAAATGGCAGACCATGATTGAAGCTCACGTTGATGTCAAGACTACCGATGGTTACTTGCTTCGTCTGTTCTGTGAGGGTTTTACTAAAAAGCGCAACAATCAGATCCGGAAGACCTCTTACGCCCAGCACCAGCAGGTGCGCCAGATCCGTAAGAAGATGATGGAGATCATGACCCGAGAGGTGCAGACAAACGACTTGAAAGAGGTGGTCAATAAATTGATTCCAGATAGCATTGGAAAAGACATAGAAAAGGCTTGCCAATCTATTTATCCGCTCCATGATGTCTTTGTTAGAAAAGTAAAAATGCTGAAGAAGCCCAAATTTGAACTGGGAAAACTCATGGAGCTACATGGTGAAGGTGGTAGTTCTGGAAAAGCTACTGGGGACGAGACAGGTGCTAAAGTTGAACGAGCTGATGGATACGAACCACCAGTCCAAGAATCAGTTTAAAATGCAGACTCTTAATGGTGACAAATAAAAGATCTTATTTGTGGTTAAAAAAAAAAAAAAAAAAAGATCATTTAAAGCACCTTGGAAAAATATTCTCAAGCCCCTCTTCTAGAAAACCTGATTCAACAGGTTTGAGACGAACCAGGAATTTGGTTTAAAACGGTCACCACAAGATTCTCACCAAAAGGTAAGTCTGAGAAACAGCAGAATGGACAATATGTAAATTAAGCCATGTGTGTGTGTGTGTGTGTGTGTGTGTGAAGTCACTTCAATCCTGTTGGATTCTTTGCGACCTCATGGACTGTAGCGCACCAGGCTCCTCTCTCCATGGGATTCTCCAGGCAAGAAAACTGGAGTGGATTGCCATGCCCTCCTCCAGGGGATCTTCCTGACCCAGGGATTGAACTTGAGTTTCTTATGTCTCCTGCATTGGCAGGTGGGTTCTTTACCACTAGCACCATCTGGGAAGCCCCATGTAGCCAGCTGTAATTTTTTAAGTATTTTTTTCTAGTAAGAGCATGGAGAAACAACAACTGGTACAAGATTCCCAGCCAGTATTAAAAAGGGAAAAATGTGGAAAAAAATACTTTATTAAAACACAAAAAGAACTGCTAAAATACCCAGTTTTCTCAATTCTCCAACAAGCTAGATACTGCTAATACACAAAAAGTTAAATCATTTCATTCTCCCTCTTCTTAGGATACACGTGGTAACAAGAGGAATTAGAGGCAATTCTAATTTATACTAACAAGAGGTATTCATGCCAGCAGGTCACATTATAGTCAGATTATGTATGCATGGCTTCACGCAATCAATTATAAACCAGTAACAACATTACTGACATGAGCAGATCCTACCAGGATTGATATATAGAGTATAATGAATCTCTTTAAGGTCCTGGTAATACAAAAGCCCTTACCATGAGCTTCGAACTTTCAGTAAGGAGGTATATTAATCCTTCCACACCATGTTGGACAGTGTCACTACTCACACTGAGTTTTCCTGAAAAAGAGTAAATATTATCCATTACTCCTTGTTTTCAAACACTGCAATAAAAAATAATTTCGGTAATAACCTCCTGTTCACTCGCCATTCCCAGGCAAATGCCTTCAGTACTTCCCACCATGTAACCTTCTTTCAAAATACAGATGCGTGGAGACAAAATCAGCTGTACTATCTCTCTCCTGAGCGCGCAGCTACTTCAAGCCTAGTAGAAGAGACAAAATCGGAAACCTGCCCTCGTCCATCGGGGGGGAAATACTTCAGTAAAAGCAGATGTCTGAACAACGAACACAGCCAAACACTTGCGTATTTACGGTTCACCGAAGTATTCCACACAGTTGGGTGCATGTAGGCATCATAGTGTATCTGGCAGATGGTGTTATGTCCATTACACGCCAAAAAACACAAGCTTTAAAAAACTCAGTATTTAGAGCACGCGCAGTATCTGCGCGCTGGCTTAACAGGGCTTCTGCTTGATTCTGCCACGACGGGGGAAAAAACCTTTAGAGTCGCAAGAAGCCGTCCTCTCCAGGGCGACAGAGAACGGTCCACACTCCCCGAGCAGATTGCACTTCTGTGCCTCCCGTTTCTTACTGGCAGCGCCTTCGTAGATCTTGGGGTTCGAGCCACGCCGCAGGAACTCCACCGCGATTCGCCCAAACTCTGCGACCACTGCAACGGAAGCCAGGAGAGCCTGAGCGCCGGGAGCTGCCCCCGACCCCTCCCCAGGCCGCAGGGAACCACCGGCCGCGGCCGCGCGCCCTCACCCGCGCTGTCCACTTTCGGCAGGAAGGCCAGATGCTCCTTGTGCTCCTCCGACAGGTCCAGCAGCATCTTCCCGGGGTAGCCGGTTTCAGGGGCAGCGCCGACCCCACCCTAGCCACTTCCGGGGCCTGAGTCCAAGCGTAAAGTGGCTCCGGTGCTTCAGCGCCCGGAGGCTTGGGTTCCGGCTGAAGGCCGTCCTACACTCAAACGCCTTCCCCGGCGCAGACTGGGAGCCGGAGATCCTCCGGTTTGCGAATCAGACGTCGCCTGCGGGGCTCAGAATGCCTTGCTCTGAGGAGAAGTGTAAAATTCGACTGGCCCCCTTGCGGAGCTTACATGAATAATGTTAGCAGCTAACATTTATGAAGCACTATGTCAGGCACTGTTCTCAGGTTTATTAACTTGTTTAGAGTTCACAAGAACCTTACGAGGTAGGTATCCTTATTGTCCCCGAGAGAGATAAGTAAACAGACAGGTCAAGCAACTGAACGTCACTTTTTTTAGCGCTAGGTAGTTTACACAGAGCTTCTGTATATGTTATCTTACTTGATTTATCTCACTTAATGCTCTCAATAACCATGCCATCGTTTGTACAGACGGGTCATCATTTGTACATGAAGAATCCAAAGCTCCCGATACGGTGTTATCAGCCAGTGACAGAGCTGGAAGAAGGTCAGAGCCCTTGACCACCTGCTCCCAAATCCGTCATTCTGCACAGCATCCTGAAAGATGGAGGTTTGTAACACGTTCCGAGAGTGATTATAAATTAGGATAAAGATGAGGAGGAGGAAGACAATGACCCATGCTTGTCGTTATTTTTTATGTGTTAAGGGCAGTGGGAGAATTTGGTTCCTTTACCAACTCATTCTTCTCACCTGCTGTGGTTCAAATATAAGAGACTATTAAACAGCTTATTAATAAAAATATGACTCCTCAATTTTTACTCTCTTAGTGGAGGAAAGGGTGGGGGAAAAGAGAAATTTCACATCTATGGTTGTGCTATCTAGGAATATAGATAAAAAGCTAATTATATGCCCCAAGATATCTATATGCCATCTCCTGAGCGGAAGTGAACATTGTAAATGTTTTTCAGCTCTGCTCTCTGCATCTCCCTCATCCCTTACGTGTGACTGAAACTGAAATTGTTTCCTATTGTTGTTCAGTCACTGAGTCATGTCCAGCTTTTTGCTTCCCCATGGACTGCAGCATGCCAGGCTCTTCTGTTTCCTATGTGGGGGCACAGACAGGCAGATCCTTAAACTTGTTAGGTCTTGAAGCAGCATTTGCAGAGAGAATACAGCTTTTACTGACACTGTGTTGCAGATCAGCAAAAATGGCATTTTATGAAGATTGTATTCATACATTATTGAGAGAATGTCAATTATAGAGGGAATAAGGAATGATGAAATGAATTTACAAATAGGTATACTATTATGCCAGTATAACATAGCATTTCTGTTCTGTGATCTCAGGGACTTCAGCAGGAGTGGTGATGGGGGTTGGGGGTGAAGATGGGAAATAAGGATGAACAGAATGGGGTGGTCAAGGAAGGTGGTCAAAAAGCCAAGTTATACCTGGGGAAACCCACCTGGGAGTTAGAACTTGCTAGGATAATGTATAGAGTGACTTTCTGGTACCAAGTGTCTATGGTTGTTTAGAGGTAATTACCTGATTGAAAAACCAAAACTCTAGATTCCAGATCTGAATCTGAGACTTAACTACCTGTAGGACCTAAACCAAGTTGTTTTTATAAATTTAGCCTCTTAATTTGTAAAACATGTACTTTAATGATGACTGTCCTTAATGTACCATGCGGGGCTGCTATGATGCTCAGATGAATTAATAAATTCATATTAAGAAATTGATCTTGATGATCAAATTAAATAAACTAGCATTAAGCAAGTGATTTTTAAGTGGAAATATTTATATTTTATGAGCAGATGTTGTGTGCACATGTCATTGAGAATGCCTTGTATATGATTATCATAAAATTCATTTATTTAATTTAACAAATATTTATAGAGCAGTTATTCAAAAGCTCAAGCATATGTTATTCCTTGGCAGTTTAGAGATGAATAAAACACTGTCCTTGCCTAAGAGAAGATAGTAAAGGAGACAGTCAAGTAATTTCTATGCTGTGTGAAAGTGGTAATACCCGAAGAAAGAACAGAATGACCTAGAGCAAAGAGAAGGTGATGCTTAACTTTGATTTCAGTAAGATTCAGTTTTAGAATAAATGTCCCACGGTAGCCTGTCTATGCTAATATACTGCTTGATGTCTGTTTAATATTGTAAGAAAGTAAGACCTATATCACTTCATACTATCTTACTTTTAGAGCTAAAGTGAATAAAAAATAAAAGACTCAACGATTTTTCAGTTGATTCTGGCAGGGAATCAGTTGTGCTGTCACATTCTCATCTTATCATCCTCCCCTTCATCTACCTTCCTTTCTCCTCATATTTCATCATATTTCTTTCTTCTTCATAGACATTCCTGCACCAGGAACTTTGTACCAGGCATCTCCTTGGTTATGTTTCAATGATAGGTAAATAGTTTTCATTCCAATCCTAAAGACAGGCAATGTCAAAGAATATTCAAACTACCCCACAATTGCATTCATTTCACATGCTAGCAAACTAATGCTCAAAATTCTCCTAGTGAGGCTCCAATGGTACATGAACTGAGAACTTCTAGATGTTCAAGCTGGATTTAGAAAAGGCAGAGGAACCAGAGATCAAATTGCCAACAACCATTGGATCATCGAAAAAGCAAGAGAATTTCAGAAAAACATTTACTTCTGCTTTATTGANTGAGAGTCCCTTGGACTGCAAGGAGATCAAACCAGTCAATCCTAAAGGAAATCAGTTCTGAATTTTCATTGGAAGGACTGATGGTGAAGCTTTAACTCCAAAACTTTGGCCACCTGATGGGAAGAACTGACTCATTGGAAAAGACCCTAATGCTGGGAAAGATTTAAGGCAGGAGAAGGTGACAACAGAGGATGAGATAGTCAGATGGCATCACCGACTCTCTGGACATGAGTTTGAGCAAGTTCTGGGAGGTGGTGATGGACAGGAAAGCCTGGCATGCTGCAGTCCATGGCGTGACAAAAAGTTGGACATGAATGATCGACTGAACTGGACTGAACTGAACTGATGATCTCTTGCAAGGAATTGCAGTTTAGTTCAGCACATGGTCAAGGGGAAGGTAGCATGGTGGCATCCATCACATGAACTGCCCTCTCATGAGTCTGAGGCTGGCATCAAGTAGTTTATGAATTAGTTCCTAAAATTTTCCTCATTATTTTAGTTAAGTTTTTTAAACTGGATAATAAAATTCATTCAGAAAAGGGTACAGAGTTGGAAAAAGAAAAAAAAACACGTCCTGTCGAATTTTCTCAAATTTAGCACATCTATTAACAGAGATCAAGAAATAGAAAGTTACCAGTACCCCAGAACCTGTGCTGTGCTCTGTTCCAGTTACAATCCCCTCTTACTGTCTCTGCAATGACCAAAACTTCTGCACATGCTGCCTACAACATCTCTTCAGCATCCTCTTTCCTTTTTTTTGTATCAACTTTCTATGTGCCCAACTCTGTAATATCAAACTAGAAACCTATTTTTAGGTGGCCTTAGATTTTAGGCGTCTCTGACTATTGTAAAAGGATCAATCTTACAAACCTTTCTAGCAAATAGAGTCAAAATTTTTAAATATTTTAAAAAATGTTTAATAAGTGATTTGTAAAACTTCTACACTAAAAACTAAAAAACATTGATGAGTGAAATCAAGGAAGACTTAAATAAATGGGGACATATACCATGGATGGTGAGATATATGGTGGGTTGTAAGATTTACTATTATTAAGAAGTTAGTTTTGAACAATCAAAATCCCAATAGGCTTTTTTTAAAAATAGAGGATGGCAAATTTATTTTTATTATTTTTTACAAGTTTATTTGAAAATCTTTTTGGAAATGTAAGTGGCTAAGAATAGCCAAAACAAACTAGGAAAAAGAACAAATCAATTGTAAATTGATTTTTGACAAAGGTGCCGAGGTACTTGGGCTTCCCTGGTGCCTCAGTGGTAAAGAGTCACCTACCAGTGCAGGAGTCACAGTATCGATCCCTGGGTCAGGAAGATGTCCTGGAGGAGGAAATGGTGACCCACTCCAGCATTCTTGCCTAGGAATCCTATCGACAGAGGGGCGTGGAGACCTACAGTCTGTGGGGTCACAAAGAGATGGACACCACTTAGCGACTAAACACACCCAGCCCTAAAGAACTCTGAAACTTCCAGAAGAAAACATTTGAGAATATCTTCATGGCTTTGGGGTGGGCAAAGATTTCTTAGGAAGCAGAAAGCATGAACGATAAAAGAAAAAAATGATAAACTGTACTTCATTGGAGTTAAAAATTTTCATTCATCAAAAGACACCATTAATAAAATGAAAGAGTCCATAGATTAGGAAAAAATGCTTACAGTGCATACATCTGACAAGGAACTTGTATCATGAGTATGTAAAAGTCTCCAATAAACCAATAATTAAAAGATAAACAACAGAATTTTTTAAATGGACATGAACTTAATTGATACTTCACAAAATAAAAGGTACAGATAGCCAAGAATCACATGAAAAAGCATTCAATATTATTAGTCATCAAGGAAATGCAAATTAAAACCACAATGAGAAGTCATTTCAAACCCCTAGAGTAGCTAAAAATCAAAAGTACTAATGATACCAAATTTTGTTGAGTCTGTAAAGTGACCAGAACACTTGTTACCAGAGGTGTAAAACTATAATACTGCTTTGGAGAACTGTTAGGTAGGTTATTATAATGTTACTATATATTTACTCTATTATCATACAATTCCATACCTATATGTTTGCCCCCAAAGAAATGAAAGGATATATCCACAAAAAGATCTTTACCATTATGTTTAAAGCAACTTTATTTACAATATCGCAAAACTGGAGACAGTCCAAATGTCACACATCTGAATACATTGTGGTGTGACCATACAGTGGGATACTACTCAATAGCAAAAAAAGATCCAAGGAAGACTTGTATGGAGGAAGTGCAAATATTAGAGTTATTAGACCAGGACTGGAGAATAAATATGAATAATATGTCCAAAATATTAGAAGACTAGTAAGGTATTTAATCAGAGCAGTAGAAACTGTAAAAAAAAGAAAATTAAGTTAGAAAACAAATATACAATATAAAGAGTAAAGAAAAGGAGCAGTTCATTGTAGAAAACTAATTAGTAAAATTGACAAAAGCATTACAAGACTGACTATTCATGGCAAAAATAAAAATAGGGCAAAAGATACCACCAATGATATCAACAATGAATGAAGGAATATTACTACATAGAGAAAAAGAAAAGAATGTTCTACTAATACATGCAGCAATGTTAACGAGCCTCAATAGATTAAGTTGAGAAAAATAACCCAGACACGAAGTGAACAGCTATATGATTCCTTTAATTGGAAAGTGTTATACGTGGAGGTGTATCAGGAAATTGGAATAGCAGTGTCTATATGGATTAAGATAAATTTAGGAGCTTGGAGGAACTTTCTGGGGTAATGGAAGTGTTTACATCTTGCCTGGGGTATTAGTTACACAGATGTATCTTACATTTAAAATCTTTGTAATTCATTGTAGGTACATTCTACATCAGTTTAAAAAAATTAATAGCAGAAATTCAAAAGATATCTGAGACCAGTATTAGACGTAGATGGTATTTATAACCCTACCAGGGACTTTCCGTATTTCAGTTCAGTTCAGCCGCTCAGTGGTGTCCAACTCTGCAACCCCACGGGCTGCAGCACGCCAGGCTTCCCTGTCCATCACCAGCTCCTGGAACTTGCTCAGACTCATGTGCATTGAGTTGGTGATGCCATCTAGCCATCTCACCCCTCTATAGAATATTTTCCCTATATAGAATTTTTTGAATTAATATTTTCACTGTGTACTGCAATCATATGTTTAAAAAACAAAAAGCATTTTAAAAAGTCCCAGGAAAGCAAAAAAAAAAAAAAGAGAGAGAGAGAGAGAGGGAGAAAGAGTAAACATTCTTGCTCATGTCCTTGCTTCCCACCTTCCCAGTTGCCCTACTTACTACCCCATAGACAACTGCTCTTCTCCGTTTCTTATGAATTCTACCTCAGATTCTTTGTGCAAAAACAAATGCCCTAAATTTTCACTTAGGGTGATGGAGTTTGAGAAAACATAGTATTGAACTTTAAATGTTCATGTAGCATCAGAACTGTTATTAGAAACCCCACAATTAAAACAGTTATTAGAAACCTTAGCATTAAAGTTAGAGGTTCTGTTTGACCAGGTCTTCATACAAACTGGGGTTATTGTGACTTTTCAAAGCACGATTTCTGGAGGATTCTCACGTGCTGTCGAGCCTCCTTGGACGGTCAGGTTAGAAATGCTCTTTTTCGCTAGGACTCTTGCTATTCCTAACTGCTGAAGCCACCGTTTCTCTTTAAAGGCGCTGCAAGAAAACAGGACGTAATTTATAAGGAGGTCCATTCTTGTCCCCATTTGTAGCTAAAATGATGGAAATCTTGGGCTTATTTTATTGTTCCAATGGCCGGTTTCTCTTGCCCTATGAGGAGGTAAACAGGGAAAAGGAATCTTTCTAAAACTGTTTCCTTGTGAATCGGTGGGAATGAAATCATCCCAAGGCAATACCAAAAGGTGAGCACTCACAGCTAGGAACGGAAAGCCACTCAATGTCATAGAATCTGCTGGGCTGAAGCTTTTTTTTATTTTTTGGCCTTGCTGTGGAACTTGCAGGAACTTTAGTTTCTGAACTAGGGATTGAACCCACTTCCTCGGCAGCAAAAACCTGGGGTGCTAACCACTGGACCGACAGGGAATTCCCTCCTTGGTACTTTTTATCAAAATGAAACAAAACAAAACAACATGGAGAGTTCTGTTGTTATCAGGAGCGTAAGAGCCCATCAGAAACATCTTTGGGGATTTCCGTGTATTCTCAGTTCACTCTGACCCTTCTGGACCAGGCCTCCATGTTTGAATCTTCACTAAGCTGGATTTCCAGGTTACATCAGGTTCACTGGAATCAGACAGTAAGCTGTAAGGAAGACCGTTTTCTAGGCACACGTTGGCAATGTTCTTTGATGTGGAGAAAGCTGACCCTGTCTTCTGAGGAATGAGACTCAGTCAGTCATCTCCACAGCACTCACCTGCACTCACCGCCTGAGACCCATGTTAGCACTGGATCTGAGTTAACTCAACACTCTGAGTCAACCCGCACAATTACATTTTTGTGAAGCCAAAGATGGCATTCCTAGAGGCTTCCCTGATGGTCTCATGGCTAACCCTCTGTGCTCCCAATGCAGGGGGCCCAGGTTCAAACCCTGGTCAGGGAACTAGATCCCACAGGCCACAACTAAAAGACTGAAGATTCTGCATGCTGCAGCTAAAACCAAGCACAGCCAAATAAATACAAATAAATATTAAATAAATGAATGAATAATGTTAAAAAAATGTGGAGTTCCTAAATGACATGTAGTCCAGCAAACACTCTCATATGATGCCAGATGAAATGTCTGGGGTCCTGGTTTGGGAGATCGCATTTCTCACACAACTGGGAACATCTAATGGACCCCCCCGACCCAGTTCTCCTGGGTCACCACCCTGAAGGGTTAATGAGGCTTTTTCCCGTCTCCTGGCTATGATGCTAGCTTGAGGATGATGGACACCGCCATCAAGATGGCACATGTCCATTTCTCACATTTCGGCCCAAGAGCTGTAACTGGTCCTTCAGGGCTCTGTGCTCAGACCACCTGGCTGCCGGGCCTGACTGCCAGCTTCAGATGGAGAGGGTGCTTTCGTGACTCCTGTAAGGGGGGACATGAGTCCAACCAGGGGGAGCTTTTCAGGGGCAGAAGCTATGCAGGCCCCCTGTGCCCCCCACGACACACCAACAGGGGGATGTGGGGTACATCCTGCGGAGGATGCTGTGAAAACAGGAGAAGACAGATGGGAAGGCAGTCAAGAGTACAAATGCAAGGAAGAGAAAAATACTGGGTAATGAGAAACGATAAGATTGGAGATAAGATTTCTATTCTCAGCCTCATTGTGTGCAGTTTAGTTCACTCAGTCGAGTCTGACTCTCTGTCACCCCATGGACTGCTGCACGCCAGGCTTCCCATCCATCACCAACTCCCAGAGCTTGCTCAAACTCATATCCATCAAGTTGGTAATGCCATTCAACCATCTCATCCTCTGTTGTCCTCTTATCCTCCTGCCTTCAATCTTTCACAGCATTAGGGTCTTTTGCAGTGAGTCAGTTCTTTGCATCAGGTGGCCAAAGTATTGGAGCTTCAGCATCAGTCCTTCCAATGAATATTCAGAACTGATTTCCTTTAGGATTGACTGGTTTGATCTCCTTGCAGTCCAAGGGACTCTCAAGAGTCTTCTCCAACACCACAGTTCAAAAGCATCAATTCTTCGATTCTGAGCCTTCTTTATAATCCAACTCTCACATCCATACATGACCACTGGAAAACCATAGCTTTGACTAGACAGACCTTTGTTGGCAAAGTAATGTCTCTGCTTTTTCATATTCTGTCTAGATTGGTCATAGCTTTTCTTCCAAGGAGCAAGCGTCTTTTAATTTCATGGCTGCAGTCACCATCTGCAGTGATTTTGGAGCCCCCCAAAATAAAGTCTGTCACTGTTTCCCCTGTTTCCCCATCTATTTGCCATGAAATGATGGGATCGGATGCCATGATCTTCATTTTTTGAATGTTGAGTTTTAAGCCATTTTTTTTCACACTCTTTCACTTTCATGAAGTGGCTCTTCAATTCCTATTTGCTTTCTGCCATAAGGGTGGTGTCATCTGCATANCTGTATAATCATAAGGAATTTGATTTAGTCATACTTGAGTGGTCTAGTGGTTTTCTCTACTTTATTCAATTTAAGTCTGAATTTTGCAATAAGGAGTTCATGATCTGAGCCACAGTCAGCTCCCAGTCTTCTTTTGCTGACCGTATATAGCTTCTCTGTCTTTAGCTGCAAAGAATATAATCAGTCTGATTTTGGTATTGACCATCTGGTGATGTCCATGTGTGGTATCTTCTTTTGTGTTGTTGGAAGATGTTGTTTGCTATGACCAGTGCGTTCTCTTGGCAAAACTCTGTTAGCCTTTGCCCTGCTTCATTTTGTACTCCAAGGCCAATCTTGCCTGTTACTTCAGGTATCTCTTGATTTCCTACTTTTGCATTCCAGTCCCCTGTGATGAAAAGGACATGTTTTTTGGGTGTTAGTTCTAGAAGGTCTTGTAGGTCATCATAGAACTGTTTAACTTCAGCTTCTTCGGCATTAGTGGTTGGAGCATAGACTTGGATTACTGTGATATTGAATGATATGCCTTGGAAATGAAGAGAGATCATTCTGTCATTTTTGAGATTGCATCCAAGTACTCCATTTCAGACTCCTTTGTTGACTGTGAGGTCTACTCCATTTTTTCTAAGGGATTCCTGCCCAGAGAAGTAGATATAGTGGTCATCTATATCAAATTCACCCATTCGGGTCCATTTTAGTTCACTGATTCCTAAAATGTCGATGTTCACTCTTGCCATCTCCTGTTTGACCACTTCCAATTTACCTTGATTCATGGACCTTACATTCCAGATTGCTATGCCATATTGTTCTTTACAGCATCGGATCTCGCTTCCATCACCAGTCACATCCACAGTTTTAGGGCTAAAATTATTCTCACCAGTAGGTGGCAACAATCTAGCGGATATAAAGAGAAATACAGAAAGGCCACTAAAACAGTCTAGCTTTATTTTTTTCTTTCCTTCTCAAGACACTGAGTAAGGAGGAAAGCCATTCATAAATCTATATTTCCATTGTAATCATGGCATCCAAGAATGCCTCATAAGTCGTGGATGGGTCCTGAGGTCTAATTAGAGTTTTGTTTTCAGGGAAAATGGATGACCCACATATAAAATCTTACCTTATGAAATGAATGTGCCTGAAAAATTTGCTTCTGACACACTTGTTTCTGTCTTTAAATGTGATAATGGATTACTTTTTAAACGTACCTTAAATGTTAATATCAATTCTATTCTGTTATCCGATATAGCTCTCCCCCAGCCTGTATATCTTATCTGTAAGTCAACGGAAGTCTTATGATTCGGTTTGTCATTAAACTGTTCTTTTCTTCCCTTCCACTTTCACTACCATCCAAGCTTCCATTGACACTCTTGATATCTCCCAGATTGCAAGTTTCCCCCTTCTCCCTTTAATTATAATTGGCAATTCCTTTTAGTTAAAAAAAAAAAAAAGGAAGCAGCAGCAAGGGAACTTGTTCACTGATAAAACTCCTCTCCCTGAAAATCTGATGAGTAGAATACTACATGGATGGGCCAATAAAATCAGTTCATTTTGTCCTGAATATGAGGTTAGGTTGTGGGCCTTGAAGCTGGGGACTGATGTGTTGGAACAAGCTGTATTACACCATGTGGCATGTTAGCGCTTCATGGACCATCTGTCCCCTAGAGCTGCCCGGTTAAAGTCTGCCTTTGTTTGAAGAGCAAAGCTTACCTGGCCACAGCTAAGCAGTAGATGGCGTTCTCCCTTGGAGTCCTCCCACTATGCTCCGAGAAAGATGCGAAGGAAGATCTGAGTAAAAAGTCAGCACTGGGAGTTGCATAGTAAAATGATGGGTGTGAATAGCCAGCTCTTGAAATTGGAGGGAGAGGGACTTGGGGCATATATGTGTTTTTTATGAGCTTTTCTTTTTTCCTAGCCGCGGCAGTGATTTTTTTCCGGTTTTGTTGTCTTTTTTGTAGCTCAGAGAATGTGTTTGCATCTGCCAGCGGAGGAAGTCTGACTGGCCCTTCCCTTGTGTCTTGCCGTGCAGTTGCCGAAGGGTGGGCAAGTTGCCTGCTCACAGTTTGCTCCCGGAGAGGCGGCAGTTTACCCTCAGTGCCTCCTTGGGAGTCCCTGTCCGTAGCCTTCTGCCAGCTCTTGGAGGTCATCTTGGGTTTGGTGAAACCATCCACCATCACAACGTCTCCAACTCTTGCCCCCAAGACCCTTGCTCCGCAAAGCTGGCCTTTATTCAGGTTGTGACTCTGAGCTCTGAGTACCCATTGTTTTATTTTAATATAAATCCTCATGGAGACTGAGATTTTCAGAAAAGAAACCGTCGACCACATTTTACTCAGTAAATACAACACGCAGTCTTTATGCTTGTGTTTGCACGCAATGGTCAGGGGAGTTTGTCCTGCTGCGTTTTTGCAATCCAGGCACAGGACGCTGCAATTGACAAAGGCCTTCAGAATCAACAGTTGGCCAGCTTCCGCGGCTGCATGAATGGGGCATTTAGAGACGTCTGTGTGCAGGGCTTCCTGGCACCATGCTCGGTAGGGGTGCACGCCGACTGCCTCGTGGGGCCGCACGCCCTGTTTCAGGGCCCATTCAGTGAGCTCAATGTACCCGTAAAAGGCGGCGATGTACAGGGCAACCCTTTTCTGATACCTGAATGAATGAAACAAGCCAGAGCAAACAGACAAATGTAGTTTCACTAAATACCCCTGAAGCATTCTAGTTAAAATATTTATTTCTTCCTAACTTTTACCTAAAATGTTTTCAGAAAAGACCCATAGTAATATACGGGCTTCCCAGATGGGGCTAGTGGTAAAGAACCCACCTGTCAATGCAGAAGACACAAGAAATACGGGTTCGATCCCTGGGTGGGGAAGATCCCCTGGAGGATAAAATGTCAACCCACTCCAGTATTCTTGCTTGGAGAATCCCATGGGCAGAGAAGCCTGGAGAGCTACAATCCATGGGGTCACAAAGAGTCGGGACACAACTGAAGTGGCTTAGCACTCAATATGCAGGTTAAATCACACAGGCCCTGCTTATACACATTGCCCTACTGTGCAAATGTAAATAATTCAAACTGGTTTCTTTAGAGCAGTTTTCTTTTTTATGAAAATCAAATGTTCAAGAAAAATATTAAGCTTTGTATTAACTGGGAAAGTACAGGAAGGGATTCAGTCTGTTTTTAGAAATTTGAACATTTTGTATGTTTGTTTGCCTTGTCCTTATTTTCTGGCTTCTCAGAGTCTCCATTGCAATCTAAACCACTAGAGTGCCTCCCATCAGCATGACCACCAGTGCCACAGTCTCCTAACTGGTCTCCCACTTCCTTCTTATCCCGCTATGGGCTTTTCCTCATATAGTGCTTAGCAATCTTTTTCCCCTTAAGTTGGTGGTGGCCTATGCCCTGTTCTAAACACTCTAATAGCTTCCTGCTGCAACTGAAGTTCTAATGCTTCACTTTGGCCTACAAGGCCCCTGTCACCAGGACCCTGCCCATCTCTAGCATCACTTCCCACCAACTCCCCTTCTCTTCCACTGTATTATACGCTTACTGGCCTTCCTGACATCTCTATCCTTCCAATACCCCCATCAGGCACAAATCAAATTATTGGTGAAGAGTGTTCAGAGAAGTAAGAATTATGGAGGCAAAGCTAGACAGAGCTCTGCCGGGTAATGTCCAGATCCACTGGACAAGGTTGACCAGACCCCACTGTAGAGATGGAGGCAAGCTAGCCTGGTATCATTCAAAATCTACTGCATAGAACTAACTCTTGTTTCTGATTACATGTTCACCACAGCATCTGTTCCTATCTATTGGCTTCCTATGAAATTCTCCTGAATGAGAAAGATGGTTTTCCCAGAACATGAGAGCTTCTAGGGCCCTATGACAGTTAGAGTCTAACTAACTAGAGTTATACATGAATGCATTGGTGTTCTGGTTCATATATCAATTTATTTTGAAATTCATTAGTGTAAGCCAGCAACTCTGAATTTGATCAATTTTCCTGATTTGGGGAGAAAAGCGTCTCCTGGGTCAACTAACTGTCCTTTGCTTTCATCCTTAACACCCATGTTGGAACTAGCGCACTCCTGTTGCTGAGACAGTTGATTCTGCCTCCAAAACAATCTTTTCACTGTCTCTCTGTTCTCCTAGACCCGCCTCTGCTACATAAGCCTCACTCAGGCTGCCGGTGTCTTTTGAATGCGTCTAGTGCTCACACTGCAACCAGAGCCAACATTCGAAAATGCAGGTTGCATCATGGTCTTTCTCTACCTTCCATGTCTTCCCACCATTCAAAAGATAAAGTCCAAATTCCTTCGCATTCCTACAGAAGCCTTCATGAGCTGGCCTATTCTAATCTTTCCAGCCTCTGGCCACTAGCTTCCTCTAATTCTATAATCTACCATGTGGAACTTCTTTCAGTTTTTTAAATCTATTCTTGCCCCCTGGGTCTTTGTACATGTGGTTCCATCTGTTTTGAAAGTGTTCGTTAATCTGTCATGTCTGACTCTTTGTGACCCCGTGGACTGTAGCCCACCAGGCTCCTCTGTCCATGGGATTTCCCAGGCAAGAATACTGGAGTGGGTTGCCATTCCCTTCTCCAGGAGATCTTCCCAACCCAGGGATCAAACCCAGGTCTCCTGAATTGCAGGCAGATTCGATACTATCTGAGCCACCAGTAGAGCTCTCATTGGAACCTTTTAATTCTTCTCCCAACCGTTTACCTGAGTGTCAGCCCGTCAGGTTCCTTTTTAAGGATGCTTTATCCGCTCCCGCAAGTCTAGTCGTCCCTACTGTACTTCCCCATGCACCACGCCCGTGTCATCACGCTTCTCAGGCTGAATGGTAACAGCGGTGACACCTAACGCTTATATCCTCCTTACCATGTGCCAGGCTGACCTCCAAGTCCCTTATGGTGTTAGTTCAGTTAATCTCTAAAGTAGTTCTGTAAGATAGGTGCTGTTATTATTCGCATTGTACAGAAGAGGAAGCTGAGGTACAGGATGACTACTTGCTCACGTGTACACAGTTAAACCCTGAGGGAGCAGGGCTATGAGTCTAGGTAGATGGGCACTGGGGTTTGTACCCCAGAACATTTTGCAATTCTGTTCTTCCAAGAACTGGTTACTTGTTTTGTGTTTCTTCCACTGGACTGTAAGCTTGCTAAAGGCAGGAACCATATCTTGTTTATTGTTCATAGTACACAGTAAAGGATCAATAGATGTTTGTTGATTGGGTGGATGAATTGCAAAAGGAGCTCTTCAGTCTCATTATTTATATTCTCTGAGCTCTTAGATTTTATTTAGAGATTAAGTGGAAATGGTTATGAGCACTGGAGTAAGTTGCTGGGATCCAAAACTCAGTTGGGCCCTTTGCTAACTGTGTGATGTTGGGCAGATTCCCTAAATCAGTTTCCTTATCTGTAAAATAAGATAAAGAATAAGACTTTTGTGGGCAATCTCATAGAAATGTTCTGAGTATAAAATAAGGTAATAAATATAACAATGTCTGCTGCAACGTATTCAACAAATAGGCACTGTTGAAACCGATGAAATGGTTCTTTGCATTCAGAGCATGAAAACAGAGTATTATAATTATCCCCAAATAGAAATCAATTTAAATTATCTGAATATCTTAGAAAATTTCAAACGCTGGCTTTCCAGTCTGTCACCTCACATCCTCCTGTGTGGGCATCTGTAAAGTATGACTAAATCACCACACGGGGGCAGTGTTCAAAAATAGCACTGCATTAAAACCTAAAAAGTAGTTTATGCACCTGGGAACCTACTGGCTGCAGAGATAAGTTAAAATGTCCACCTGCTTCTCTGAGCCTACCCCCCTCCATTGCCCCAGCGGCACAAGCAACACTTCATGTGTGGCAAAAGTTTAAAAGCGTGCATTAAACGTAATTTGATAAGCTACATGATAGCTTAGGAAGAGACCATGGATATTTTCAGCCAATCAATGAGCAATTAGTAGTTTTTAGAACAACTGAATGTAAGAGTGGCAAGGCACTTATCCTGGTAGCTTTTAAAAAGTGCTGTTAAAAGTCTAATATCCAAACCAAACTGAAGTCTCCCATTTAGATTGTTAGTATGAGGAAAACCTTCTTAAATTGCAATTCATTACCAAAGGCTCTCAGCCCTGGTGGCATCCTTGCTTTCTTGTTCCAGAATACATCGCAATAAAAATGCCTAAGGGGAACTTTCGTGGAGCAACACCCCAGCTAAAGAGGTTCTATGAGGGTTTAGCAAAAATTAATTAGTTTAGCATCTGCTTTATCTCGTACTTGAGGACTAGTCCTTCGTTTGATAAATAGCGTTGGACTTGAAGTTTTTGTCCAAGGAGACAACCCATGAGAAACTCCTTCCATCCGTCCCAGACATCCAAGCGAAGTGTTGTGCCTGTGGATAAAGAGAGGTGGAGATGGCTAGAGTCAGCAGGGTTTGGTGATCAAAAAACACTTAATGATAGACTTCTCCAAACTGGCCTGAACTAGGTGCCAAACGAAAAGTAGCCTTTGAATAAGGAGACAGGGCTGCCTAAAAGTGAGAGAGAAAGAGAGATGCTATCTTTAGCTAGGCCTGCATTAACTTGGAAAAACTTTTTAACCTCCGTATACTTGCGTTTTCTCATCTGCACGGTGAAAGCATACACTGCTGGGCTTCTTTCTGTAGCTATCTTAAAGCAGTCATGTGGATACTGATTCCTTGCTGATCTACACATCACCGTGTAGATGAAAGCTGTTATGTTGAAAGAGAAACTCAAGAAACGGTGGCAGGATATATGGATTTCTTGGGCCTTTAGCTTATGTGTGGGCTATGGGTGAAGATGAACAATCCTTGCATCGTATCCTTCACAAAACAGGAGCCATTCTGTATTATGAACATACAAGTGATATGCTCATTGCAGCTGGAGGATTTATCACTTGTTCCACAAAAGCCTGCCTGCTCCTGGTTTTGTGACTATATTCCCTTTGTCCTTCAGGCTGGTGTTTCCCAGGAATCTTGCCTCAGGCTTCTGCTCTTACTCTCCATGTTCCCTCAGGATAAAACCCAGACTTGGGAACTTTCTTGGAAGTCCAGTGGTTAAAACTCCATGCTTCCACTGCAGGGGACATGGGTTTGATCCCTGGGTGGGGAACTAAAATCCCCTGGCTGGAGTCCAAACTCCAGCCAGGCCCCTGCTCCAGCTGTGGATTCCTCCTGCCAGGGACATCACCAGCCAAAGCATCATGCTAGATCCTTTCTGTTGTGAAAGACAATCTTTGCAGTGCAACCAGAAAGAGGAAAAGTCAGAAATGGGCTCCTCCCCATCTGACCCACTCAGACCTTTCTCCCATCAGCCTGCCTCCCCTCACTCTCTTCTGGCCATTCTGACCTTTCACCTGTTCTTCAGATGCATCAAGTCCTTTCCCATCCAAGGATCGAAAGGCCTACGATTTCTTTTGCTTCAGAGGGGCTTTATCCATTTCCACAGGGCAGTGTCCTTCTGACTCAGCTTTGCCTTCGACACTGTATCCTCACAGAGGACCATCTCAGTCACCATGGCTAAAGCCATCTCTGCCACAGCCCACCCTCCCCGAGACACCTTATGCTGTGACCTTGCTTGAAATTCTTCATAGTCCCTGTCATCAGCACTTGAAATCATTTTCCTTGTGTGGAGATTTTTTTCGCGGCCTACTCGAGAGGAAGCTCCTTTAGGATTCGCCACACCACCTGCCTCTTGCTGAGTGCTCACAGATGGTCCTCTGGGAGGGCACAGTGCCCACGCCCAGTTTGCCAGCTGGCCGACAGGCCACCTCCGTGCCACTGATGGCGTCATGCATCACCCCTGAGTCCGCAACCTCCAGGCAGGCCTCCGCTGCAGCTGCAGGCTGCTCCTGCCGGGGACATCAGCAGCCAAGGGGTCACGGTAGAAGCTGCTGTTGTGAAAGACAACTTTTCACCCCCAACCTGCTTCTCTTCCTGCCGCGTGTCTCAGTGTGTGTCCCACCGTCTTCCTTCCTTGCCGCCTGAGCTGGGAACCTGGGAGTTGTTCTCCAGCCCTTCCTTTCTCTTGTGCCCCCAACATCTATACAGTCACTTGTTTTTCTTGAGTCACTCAATCGTGTCCAGCTGTATGTGACCCCATAGACAGTAGCCCACCAGGCTCCTCTGTCCGTGGGATTCTCCAGGCAAGAATACTGAAATGGGTTGCTATTTCCTTTTCCGGGGGATCTCCCTGACCCGGGGATTGAAGCTGTGTGTCCTGCCTGACAGGCAGGTTCTTTACCACGGAGCTACCTGGGAAGCTCATACAATCACTCAGACCTGACAGCTTTACTCTGTTTCCTCACCTCCATCTCAGCCAGCTCTGTCCTATTTCAGGCCTAGATACTCTCTCACCTAAATCTACCTTGAGAAGCTCCCCGCAGCCTCCCCATCTTTATTCAGTTCTCTGCTCAGATGTCATCTGCTCTAGCCAACCATCGACAATAGCCTCTCCCCACCTTACCGTGCCACTCTCAATTCCCTTCTGCTTTCTTTTATAGTTCTTCGTTCTACTTAAAATTGGGTATTTTAATCTGCTTACTGGATGATGCATGCCTTCCCCACTGAAAAGCAAGCTTCAAGACAGTAGGAACCTTGTTACTTAAAAAAAAAAAAAATTTTATTTATTTGGCTTTGGTCTTAGTTGCAGCATGCAAGATCTTTAGATGTGGCGTGTGAAATCTAGCTTCATGACCAGCGATCAAACCTGTGCCCCCTGCATTGGGTCTTAGCCACTGGACCACCAGGGAAATCCTGGAAACTTGCTACTCTTGGTCACAACTCTGTGCTTGTTCTCCCGAAAGGATCCTGGCCCATGGTGGATGGTCAGTAAATACTTGTTGAATGAAGCTCTGACCGACCCCTCAAACACGTTCCGGCCATGTACTGCCCTCCTAAACCCTTAGCAGCCCAGTAGACTCTGCGTACCCCAGGCTGTTTCTGGATTTGTGGCTTCTTTTGCTATCCCTTCTTTTAAATTCTTCTGATCCTCCCACTTTCCTCCCAATAGTTCATGATGCAATCCTGGCATCACCTCCTTCAGGAAGCTCTCTTTGACTGCACCATCCTCTTACCTCTCCAAATAGGATAAATGACTGTTCAGCTGGTTACCATAGAATACTTGGAAACTCTTTGTCATTGAACATACATTTTTGCTTTGGAATTGCCAGTTGACAGACACTGAAAGAGAACTCTTTGAGCCCAAGCATTATGTTTCATCCAGTCTATGGGCTCTATTTTATTATGCTCTTGGGTTGCAATGAGACCCTCAAGAAAATGGGGCTTATTATATCAGGACAATGACAACATCTTGATGTCTAAGGAACTGAGACACCTCTCAGAATGGGCCATCTCTCCCGGGGGCCCCAGGATCTCTGTCGCATGCCCTCTGGGTCTCTCCGTGTGCCTTCCTTTCTCCACTGACGGGCTGCCCTCTTACTCTTGGAGTTTCTGTCCTATCACAACTTTGGCATGCATGCCACATGGATCTGCTGTAACCCAACCTTACTTCTTGACCTTTTCATTTTTTACCCCTACTGATAACCAGTTTTGTCTCTCTATGTTTCCCAGTTTGAATTCACAAGAATGATAGTTAATAATAATAATAGTAACATATTGATATGAATAGCTAATATGCACTGAATACTTATTATATGTTCTGATCAGGAAGCTCTCTTTGACTGCACCATCCTCTTACCTCTCCAAATAGGATAAATGACTGTTCAGCTGGTTACCATAGAATACTTGGAAACTCTTTGTCATTGAACATACATTTTTGCTTTGGAATTGCCAGTTGACAGACACTGAAAGAGAACTCTTTGAGCCCAAGCATTATGTTTCATCCAGTCTATGGGCTCTATTTTATTATGCTCTTGGGTTGCAAGGAGACCCTCAAGAAAATGGGGCTTATTATATCAGGACAATGACAACATCTTGATGTCTAAGGAACCGAGACACCTCTCAGAATGGGCCATCTCTCCCGGGGGCCCCAGGATCTCTGTTGCATGCCCTCTGGGTCTCTCCATGTGCCTTTCTTTCTCCACAGACGGGCTGCCCTCTTACTCTTGGAGTTTCTGTCCTATCACAACTTTGGCATGCATGCCACATGGATCTGCTGTAACCCAACCTTACTTCTTGAACTTTTCATTTTTTACCCCTACTGATAACCAGTTTTGTCTCTCTATGTTTCCCAGTTTGAATTCACAAGAATGATAGTTAATAATAATAATAGTAACATATTGATATGAATAGCTAATATGCACTGAATACTTATTATATGTTCTGAGTACGTGAATAATTTAATAATTTAAAATTCACAACAACCCTAAGTGATGGGTTGTATTATTTTCTCCATTTGACAGCTGAGAAAATTGAGGCACAATGGCACTCCACTCCAGTCCTCTTGCCTGAAAAATCCCATGGACGGAGGAGCCCAGTGGGCTGCAGTCCATGGGGTCGCGAAGAGTTGGACACGACTGAGCGACTTCACTTTCACTTTTCACTTTCATGCACTGGAGAAGGAAATGGCAACCCACACCAGTGTTCTTGCCTGGAGAACCCCAGGGACAGGGGACCTGGTGGGCTGCCGTCTATGGGGTTGCAGTGTCGGATACGACTGAAGCAACTTAGCAGCGGCAGCAGCGGCAAGATGAAGCAACTTCCCCGGGTTTTACATAACCAGTTAGTAGTGGAACCAGGTGTTGGGCCTGGGCAGTCAGGCTCTTGGGCCCTTGTCCCTGTCCTCTGTGTAATGCTTGCCTCCAGGCGAGACTCTAACTGCCTCAGTTAGGAGAGCCGAGGCCCCTGGACAGCAGATGGATTGACTGCCTTTGACTCAGTCTCATGGCCCCAGAAGTTGATTGCCAAAGTGATGATGAGGCAGTGGGTGACTAGACTCATCCACGCACATCCTTAGGCTCAGACAGGTTTACCATAAACACTCATAGGTGAGAAAGAAGGAAAGTAGAGTATTCATAACAGCAGTCATCTTAGAGTCACAGAAGGCTGAAGATACGAAGATCCACCAGGGCTTCCTTGGTGGCCCAGAGGTATAGAATTTGCAGGGTATATGGTTTCAATCTCTGATCAGGGAATTAAGATCCCACATGCCTTAGGGCATCTACTGAGCCCTTGCTCTCTGCAACTAGAGAAAGCCCTCTCAAAGACCCAGCACAGCCCCTCCCCAAAAGAAAAAGAAAAAAAAAAATATATATATATATATATATATATCCTAAAANTCAAACCAAAAGAAAAAGAAAAAAAAAATATATATATATATATATCCTAAAAGACCAGCCTGTGGAGAATTGCCTGAATTAGTGAGCTGGGAGTAGAATGTGGCTTGGAACTCATGTCTCTAGGATTCTTTTGAATGCTTAGAAAGCCTCCTGTTTCCAGTTGCCTTTCTTTCCTTTTTGCTTCTCCGCTCTTGCCCTTCCTGCCTCAGCTTCACAGGCAGACACCCACACAAGTGTGTTCTTCCTGCTGATCCCTCTCCTTTGGTTTGGTGGTTGTTGTTTGTTTTGCTTTTGATCCCTCCCTTTTGAATGTTACAATCCGTAGTCTTGAAGTGGGGCTCTTCTTCCCTTACTCTTGGCTTTAGGATTTCTTGACCTTGGCCTCATGGTCCTTTGTGGGTTGATTCCTAGTGGACGGCTTCTTTACTCACAGAGCCTGGTCTGCATTAATAGCCTCAAAGCACCTAGCCTACCTTAACCCTCACAAGTCTGGCCTCAGCTAGGAGAACTCACTCTTTTGCTGGAGAATTATGGAATTATTCTGTAGAGATGGTGTAGCAGTTCTACTCTAGAAATGCCTGAATAAACATTTTCCAAAACATGGATCATCCCCGACATAATAGATTTGTTTCTCTAAAGCTTCTTGCTGTATTTAAACTTTCTTATAAAATATTTGAGGACTTTCCTGACAGTCCAGTGGTTAAGACTCCACCTTCCAATGCAGGGAGTACAGGCTTGATCCCTGGTCAGGGAGCTAAGATTCTACGTACATTGTGGCCAAAACACCAACATATAAAAATCAAAAGCAATATGGTAACAAATTCAATAAAGACTTTAAAAATGGTCCACATCAAGAGAAAATCTTAAAATAAAATATTGGATTTCTATGACCAGCACTAGAAATAAAAGACTTTAAACACTGTACCAAGTGCATTGATGTCATCTCCCGACTTAAGTGACTTACTCTGTTTTTAATTTATGGAAATCACTCACACATGAGCATTGAAAAGCTTTAGCTTAGCACTCTACCCCAGGCCCCTTGGTCCTCCACAGTGAGGCCACACAGTCTCCATTTGAATGACCGGAACAGTCCGAATATCAGTAGCAGAGGATTAGTTAAGATTGCAGGCCAGCAGCTTGGAAGTTTGGTGGAAAGTTGCTCGTCCTGTTCATCCTGCTCAGATGTTGTCCTGTTCTAGTAACTTGCCTTATTCCTCCAGGAAGAAGAGACCAAGCCCGCATCTTATGCCTCAGAGCACAAGTCTCGATATCCTACTCCACCTTTGGACTTCAGAACTGAGATCCCATCTCTGTTCTCTGAGCCTGGGACTTGGGGGATTCTTATTCTGCAGCCCGGTCTCTGGGGTTGGATTTCTCTTACATGTTGACAGAGGCTCCAGTGCCAGCAACCAGCTTATCTCACTTCCGACCTTTTATGTCATTCGTTCATTGATTCCTGGTGGCTCAGCAGTAGAGAATCTGCCTGCCATGCAGGAGACATGCGTTGGATTTCTGGGTGGGGAAGATCCCCTAGAGAGAGAAATGACAACCCACTCCAATATTCTTGCCCGAGAAATTCCATGGACAGAGGAGCCTGGCAGTCTATAGTCCCTGGGGTCTCAAAGAGTCCAACAGGACTTGGACACTAAATACCAAACAAGAAAACAAAAAAATGCATTGATTCATTCACTACCCTGGTGCTGTGATTCACCTACGGGGCCCTGCTGGATCCCCCTAAGGTTCACCTTCTGTCTTCTTCCATCTTCCCGACTGCTAATCCAGACTTACCAGCCTGTTCCAGGACCCTCACCAACAGAGTATTTTACGTGAACAAATGTTACAGGTGTTTTAACTATCAATTTCAGTTTTTTGCAGTAAAGCAGTTCTAATTTCTCAAAGATCATAGGTGACAATGGATGGTTTTTCCCTTAATGCTTAACTTTTGAATGTCTAGCAAATTTCTAGGTGAGTTAATAAGCACCATTTATTAGATAATCCTTCCATCCCAATTGATCTGTAATGCCTCCTTTGTCACACATTAAATTCCTTCATAAGCTTAGGAATTCTGTTAGAAAATAGCAACTTACTTTTAAAGTGCTATGTTGCTCCAGAAACTGCAACTAAAATTTATAACCAAAGGTAAAACTAATGAGACTTAAACTTCAAGGACTCTTCCTGCATGAAACTGTCTAATTCTTTACTCTTAATTTTTTAAAATGGATTCCCCAAATTGTATATATTTTCAAAACCTGGCTCCACCCACTCTCTACTTCCAAACCCATCTACCATGCCTAAGCCATGCAGGAAAGCACGTGCAAGCAACAGGGCCCATTCCAGGGAATGTCTCCAGCCTCTCCCTGTGTGGTTCCTGTGTCCCAAGTTCCTGGATTCCTCACACATACTCTGGGGACAGTACTTGCCTGTCTGATTTAGGCTTTTTCTTTCTGAACGTGAAAGCTATGTCTCTGGCTTGGGTTTCCCTTAATGGCAATCAAAACAGAACACTGATCAGAACTTAAAGAGCCCAAGTGAAATAGGTATCAGTAAAGACACTGGGTTGACAGTAGACCTTGTTGGAAAGAGCCCAACCCTAAATGTGAGATGACCATTCATTACCCAGGTGACCTTGAACAAGGTCACTTCACTTCTCTGAGCCTCAGTTTTCTCATATATAAAAGGAATGAAAATGGCACAGTAGGTCTCTAAGTGGCCTAACGTCTGGCTGAGGGGCCCTGGAGCCCACCTAGATTTCGAGGCCTGAGCTGACAGGACCCTTTTCTTGGAATAGTCTCTCAGATGTGATATGCTCAGTCTGGCCGTGAATACCTGCCATGAGGTGTTCACAGTGAGAAGTACCAATGGCATCATTCTGTCCTGTGTAGGTTGATTCAAGAAAAGTTATATGTGTGTGTGTGCACATGTGTGTGTCTATTGGACCTCTATAATGTGTCACTAAAGCTGAGGTCATAAAATTACAAAATCACAAACATTAGGAAATGTTGAGCTTTGATCAAGGCTTGATAAGTTAATTCTCAGACATTCTATCATGGAAAAAGCCCTTTGTCCCTTATTACTTATCTTCTTCTTAATGCCTGCAACCTTTCTTTTTCGAGGCCTGAGCTGACAGGACCCTTTTCTTGGAATAGTCTCTCAGATGTGATATGCTCAGTCTGGCCGTGAATACCTGCCATGAGGTGTTCACAGTGAGAAGTACCAATGGCATCATTCTGTCCTGTATAGGTTGATTCAAGAAAAGTTATATGTGTGTGTGTGCACATGTGTGTGTCTATTGGACCTCTATAATGTGTCACTAAAGCTGAAGTCATAAAATTACAAAATCACAAACATTAGGAAATGTTGAGCTTTGATCAAGGCTTGATAAGTTAATTCTCAGACATTCTATCATGGAAAAAGCCCTTTGTCCCTTATTACTTATCTTCTTCTTAATGCCTGCAACCTTTCTGTCACCATCCGGTTTATTGAAATTGTTCTCTCTGAGCTCACCAGTGACCTTTAAGCCAGATCAAAGGGTTTTTAATCATACCCTGTCTTTGGTCTTTTACCAGCATCCAGCAAACTGTCTCTTCTTCATCATCTGTGACAATGCGGAGTCCCTGTTCTCCTCCCAACTCTGACAGCTGTCTATATCATTTTCTGACTCCTGTTCTCTCTACTTACATCAGCTTCAGCACCTCCTTCTTAGAGGATCATTTTAAAGTGTGTTATCCTTGACATACCCTGAGCAAGTAATTTAAGCATATAGAATCTTTTTGTTTTCTTTAAATCTATAAAAAATTAGGGGTTGGGGGAATTCCCCAGTGGTCCCATGATTAGGATTCCATAATTCCATTGCAGGTGGGACAGGTTTGATCCTTCGTGGGGAAATAAGATCCTGCATTCCACATGGTGCAACCAAAAAAAAAGAAAAAAAATAGAGGTTGGACCAGGCCATTTCTGAGCTCTCTTCAATCTCTAAATTGTCTCATCATGACCTGAGCAGCACAAGCCTGAAGAGAAGTCACCCTGGTTTTCTCATTTCTCCTTTGTCGTTTCATTAAGTAACTAAGTCATAAGCTGCTTGAAGACAAATCCCACTTGTGTAGCGTAGTGTGAGCATGCTCAGTCATGTCCGCCTCTTTGCGACCCGTGGATTGCAGCCCTCAGGTTCCTCTGTCCACGGGGTTCTTCAGGCAGGAATACTGGGGTGGGTGGCCATGCCCTCCTCCAGGGGCTCTTCCCGACCCAGGGACTGAACCTGCATTTCCTGCGTCTCCTGCATTGCAGGCGGATTCTTTACCGCTGAGCCACTGGGGACGCTCTTGAGACAGAAGGTTCTTATTTCTTGGTCTGCAGACCCAGACAACAAAGAGAGTCTGTTTTGTTTTCCGCTGCACTGGACCTTCAGTGTGGTGTGCAGGCTTCTCTAGTTGTGGTGAGCAGGCTGACTTAGTTGCCCCAAAACATGTGGGGCTCTTAGTTCTTTGCGCAGGAATGGAAGCTGTGTCCTGCATTGGAAGGTGGATCCTTTATCTCTGGGCCACCAGGGGGAGCCCCCAAAGAAGGGGGTAATTTACATAAAATTGATGATTTACATCCACACTGCACCTCTAGAGGTTTTAGTTTAGAAACACGCCCCCCCCCCCGTGGTGCATCTGGCATCAGAGAACCCGCGGGCTGAGTCGCAGCTGTGGTCCCACGCCGTGGGGGTACCGGGGTCTGTCTGGTAATCCCTGAGCAGGTTGCAGTCATACATCTCCAGTCCCTCTGGGGTCCGAAGACAGAAGACACTCACGGGCACGCCACACCTCAGAGCGACCAGTGTCCGCAGATCGGACACTCTTTTACCGAGAAGGGAAATGCCCTCCGTGATGGCCACGGTTTCCTGGGTCACCGCGTTGAACACACGGACAGTGGGCTTCTGTTCCTCCTGAGGAAAGAGAGAAGGAGAGCGCTCAGGACTCAGTCTCGTCTGGGGGTTGGGACGAGACACAAACATCTCAGAGTGCTGCTCTCAGCCCTCCAGCTCCTACAGCCCGGGTACTAAGGTTGCAAGCAAGAGCCAGTGAGGCGCCTTGACCTCTGGTCTGAGTCTCACGCGTCTGTCTGAAGACATTTCTGAGCCCTGCTGGAGTAGGATTTAGCAACTCACTCCAGTATTCTTGCCGGGAGAATCCCATGGATAGAGGAGCCTGGTGGGCTACAGTCCACGGGGTCGCAAAGAAACGACTTAGCATGGCCTTGAGACAAGTGAAGGAGACTTGGCGGGGCTTTGAGTCCCTTCTTACTTCTTACCTGTGGACCCAGATGCCCGAGAGGAGTGGTGACCACATATACCCACGCGCTGCTTCTGGAGGTGTTCGTTTAGTAACAGTTCCTCCATCATGATGTACTTTAATATGGAAATACTGTGGATTCTGAACCTCAGCCAATTAAAAAAATTCTTTCTAGGAGGTTGTCTCTGGGCAGTGGGACTGAGCTCGGGGTAGGAGGAGAATTTTGCTTATCATTTTATGCTCTTCCTCTTCTGAATGGTTTGACTTTTTTTTGTTGTTGTTTAAAACAACTTCATGTATTTATTTTTACTGTTTTAAAAAGGGAAGTACTTGGGAAGATCCCCTGAAGTACTCTTGCCTGGAAAACCCCATGGACGGAGGAGCCTGGCAGGCTACATACCATGGGGTCGAAAAGAGTCCGATATGACTAAGCGACTTCACTTTCACTTTTCGCTAAATAAAAGTGACGAAAGTTTCCTCTGCTCCTTTTGATTGGGAATCTGAGCTGGAACTCAGATATCTGAGAGTTAAGAAGGAACGTTTAGGAGAATGTTAATCTGTTAAAACCCTTAAATCAATCAGACCAGAACTACAAATGTAGCAGAAGGGGCCAGTGTGGAAAGGGTGGGAAGGAAAGGTTACTAAAACTTCCCTTTTACAACCACAACAACAGAAAAGAGACTGGCTTTCCTTTCTCTTCAGGGGATTCAGGAAGATCTTGTTTTTCTTTAACCTGATGCGGCCGCAGCAGATGTCAGCTCACGGAGCTGCCGCCCCGGGTCCCAGTAACCGGTTTCGAGGGCCGTGAGCAGAACTGAGAAGCTGGCCTGGCCTCCGGGTTCCTCAGGTGGCTGCTCCAGCCGGTCCCTGCTCCCTGGCCCAGCTCCTGCTCGCCTCCCCTTCTTCCTATGAGGTTCGTCCTGGTTTCTGCAGGGACCGCTCCCTGCCTCTGGTTTATAATATGTGAAATTCGTCGTGCACCTCCCAGATAATGCATTGCCACAGTGTGAGCAGCATGCAGATATCTGAAAGAGCCTTGAAGGAGCAGTGTTACTGATGATCACTGGGGCTGTGGTGCTCTTGTCTGAGGCCCATTTCAGGGACTCAGATTGCTGGGAGCAGTTCAGCTCTCTCCTGCTGAACTAATCTGCAGGCAGAGCGGCTCGCTGAACTTTAAGTGCTTAGAACCAGCTTCCTCAGCAGCCCCTCACAAACTCCCTCGGTAAACACTGAAAGGACGCAGGAGTCACCCTTGGTCTTTCTTCATGCTCCTGTTTGCCCCTGGGTCCATTAAGGCTCCTAATCCATATGCTACTTACAGCCAGGAGGAAATGCCTATGAAATCTGAATAAAGAGATAGTGAGGAAGAGAGAAAAGTTATATTTTATGTAATAGTTATTTCTTGTTTCTTTTATGATTACTCTGATTTCCCTAAAATTAGCCCTTGATCTGGGTTTTCATTTATATTTAGAATTAAATGCAGAATGTACAAACAAAACAGCAAAGCCCCAAATCACCCTTAACAGCTAACTAACTACTATGTGAGGTTAGAAAAATAAGTTTAAAAGGTGGTTTTCAGAGTACGAATAAATATTTGCCTGCTTCGTTCTAACCTGTGGTGTTTTGGAAACTATTGCTTGAGTTTTGCTCATTGTGTCCCCCAGTGCCTAGAATAGTGCCCAGTACAGACTGGACTGTCCATAAATGTGTGTTGAATAAATGATTCATAACACGTCTGGAACACAGTTCTCACTGCACTATTTTAACTCTGTATTTTCACCGTTTTATAAGCTTTGTTTTTGTGGGAAACCCATTTTAAGTTCACTAACCCATATTAGTGAAGGATAGGGAAACCTGGTGTGCTGTAGTCCATAGGTCACAAGGAATTGGACATGACTTAGCAACTGAACAACATTTTAAGTTCTACTGAGAACCATACCAATTGGTGATGCTTCTTCATATTGGTTTTACAGAGAAGGAGCAGGTAACTGTTGATTAACAGCAACTTGCTGACTCACCTTATCTATTTAAAAAAGGCATTTATCTATATGATACCCCTCCCTGACTGTTCTGAACGTTGAAACACTGGTAGTTATGCCCAGGAAAGTCAGATGTGTTAAATAAGCAATTCCATAAACAAGCCATTATTGACAAATGTAAAATTAGATTTTCCTTTACAAGCAAACCAAGGCACCATGGTAAGAGGTACATACAAAGTGTCTTAGTTGTCAGTAAAGAAAACACATAGATCTATTTCGTGCACATGTGCATGCTCAGTTGCTCGGTCACGTCTGACTCTGCAACCGTATAGACTGCAGCCCACCAGGCTCCTCTGTCCCTGGGAGTCTCCAGGCAAGATACTGGAGTGGGTTGCCACGCCCTCCTACAGGGGATCTTCCTGACCCAGGGATCAAACCTGCATTGCAGGCAAATTCTTTACTGCTGAGCCACAGGGGAAATTCTCTATAAATATAATTCTTCCAGAGAAGGAGAAAATAAAGATCCTTAAGAATCTGTGGAACTTGAGAGTTTTTAACTAAACCCTTCATGTTGGCCAGTCCTGTGACTTGTAATCCTATTCTTCCTGGATTCTCTGTAAGAGTCTTGTACGTCTACATTTGATTCTTGTCGTTAGTAGTTTAGAACTTTAGGGAAAGTTTAGAGTTCAGTGCAAAGGCAGCTTGTATCACTGTGATGGATGATGCTTAATCGGCAGAAGTTATGAAATATTCTTGTAAGTAAAACTATGAACATAGGTTGCTTTGGGGAGGGAAACTAGGGGCCAGAGGTAGGAGAGAGACTTTTTATTGTTTATCCTTCTGTAGCATTTGAGTTAAGCACCATGTGAATTTACTACCTGGTCAAAAATAAATAAAAATTTTAAGTAATGAAAATAAAGTCAGTGCTTAGCTAAGTGAAAGTTGATACTATATAGTTTATAGTATACTATAGTTTACTATAGTTTATAGTATATAGTTTATACTATAAACTTAGTTTATACTAGATAGTAACAAAAACACATTATGTATATACATATTTAAAGACATGAAAGACATTTAAGAAATAACATGGAATTTAATCTGCTTAAAAATGTATTATACTACAATTTTCTGAATATTAGAGGGAGAAAAGCAGAAAAAATTGTTTTTCTTTTTTGATAATTAGGCATCTTTCAAGAGCATGAAAACAGTACCTCTAAAATCAGAAACAAGAAAAGGATGCCCACTCTTACCACTCTTATGCAGCGTATTGGAAGCTCTAGTCAGAGCAATTAAACAAAAGAGAGAGAGAGAGAGATGAAAGGCATTCAGATTGGAAGGGAAGATGTAAAGCTGTCACAATTTACGGGTGACTTGATTTTATATAGAGAAAAGCCTACAAAGAAAACTATTTGAAATAATAAAGTTGCAGAGTACAAAATCAACTTTCAAAACTCTGTTGCAATTCTAGAGACTTCCTTGGTGGTCCCGTGGTTAAGAATCCACTTTGCAATGCAGGGGATGCAAGTTCGATCCCTAGTTGGGGAACTAAGATCCAACATGCCTTGGGGCAACTAAGCTCACATGCCATGAAAAGAGAACCCAAACGCCACAGTGAAGATCCCCTGTGCCACAACTAAAGACCCAATGCAGCCAAATAAGTCAGTTCAGTCCAGTCGCTCAGTCATGTCCGGCTCTTTGCAGCCCCATGGACTGCAGCACGCCAGGCCTCCCTATTCATCACCAATTCCCGGAGCTTACTTAAACTCATGTCCATTGAGTTGGTGATGCCATCCAACCATCTCATCCTCTGTTGTCCCCTTTTCCTCCTGCCTTCAATCTTTCCGAGCATCAGGGTCTTTTCAAATGAGTCAGCTCTTTGCATCAGGTGGCCAAAGTACTGGAGTTTCAGCTTCAACATCAGTCCTTCCAATAAACACCCAGGACTGGTCTCCTTTAGGATGGACTGGTTGGATCACCTTGCAGTCCAAGGAACTCTCAAGAGTCTTCTCCAACACCACAGTTCAAAAGCATCTATTCTTCACGCTCAGCTTTCTTTCTAGTCCAAGTCTCACATCCATACATGACTACTGGAAAAACCATAACCTTGAATAGACGGACCTTTGTTGGCAAAGTAATGTCTCTGTGTAATGCCAAATAAGTAAGTAAATATCAAAATGTTACTCTCCCAATTCATTCCACCCTCTCCTTAGCCTTCAAGAGGGAGGGGATATATATATATATACTTATGGTTGATTCATGTTGTTGTATGGCAGAAACCAACAGAACAATTACCATCCAAAGGAGGAAAAAAAAAAGAACAAAGAAAACACAAGAAATCTGTTGCATTTCTAAATGCTAACAATGAACTAGCAGAAAGAGAAATTAAGAAAGCAATCCCATTTATAATCACAATGAAGAGGATAAAATACCTAGGAACAAATTTAACCACAGAGGTGAAAGACTAGTACACTGAAAACTCTAAAACATTGTTGAATGAAACTGAAGACAGCACAAAGAAATGGAAAGATACTCCATTAATTCTAAGAATCAACATGATTGGACCCCTGAAACTAACACAACATTGTAAATCTACTGTACTCCAATAAAGTTTTTTAAAAAGTCAACTGGTTGTGAGAGAGAGTATATGGCTTACAAATCCTAAAATATTTACTATCTAACCTTCTGCAAAGAAAAAAAAAAAAAAACAAAGCTTTGCCAGTTCTTGTGTTATATAATTATATCTCAGCAATGTTGAAAATCCTGGCTTGAGTATGACCATGGTTTTGTAAGAGAATGTTGTTCTTGCTTAATAATACACACTTAAGTATTTAGAAAAGGAGAGTCAACATTATTAAAATGTTCATAATAACTAAAACAGTCTGCAGAGTCAGTGCAATCTCCATCGAGGTCCCAAGGCATTTCTCACAGAACTAGAACAACAACAAAAAAAATCCTAAAGTTTATATGGAACCGCAGAAGATACTGAATAGCCAGAGCAGTTTTGAGACAAAATAACAAAAAAAGTTGAAGATATCACACATTCTGGTTTCAAACTATATTACAAAGCAATATTAAAAAAATGGCATGGTATTGGCAAAAACAGACTCATGGAATAGAATTGAGAGCCCCAAAATAAACCCACACATATATGGACAATTAATTTACATGAAAGGAGCCAAGACTATAAAATGGAGAAAGGATGGCCTCTTCAATAAATGTTGAGAAAACTGGAAAACCGCATGCAAAAAAAAAAGAAAGAAAAAGGAAAGAAACTAGGTCAATATCTCCTACCATGCACAAAAGACAACTCAAAATAGATTAAAGACTTAAATGTAGGACCTGAAGCCATAAAATGTGATAGAAGAGAACATAGGCGGTATGCTCTTTGACATTAGTCTTAGCAATGTCTTTCTAGGTATGTCTCCTCAGGCAAGGGAAACAAAAGGAAAACAGTACGACATCAAACTATCGACCTAAAAAGCTCATGCACAGCAAAACAGCAATTCGAAAGATACATGTACCCCCGCCTGTGTTCATCACAGCATCATCTGCCATAGCCAAGATGTGGAAGCAACCGAAATGCCCATCAACAAAAGAATGCATAAAGAAGATGTGGTGTGTATACATATACATACGTGTGTGTGGTTGGGTGTACAATGGAACTACTTAGCCATAAAATGATTAAATCCTGCCATTTACGACATGAGAGACCCAGAGGATTTTATGCTAAGTAAAGTCAGACAGATGGAGAAAGACAAATATCATATGATTTCAGTCCACGTGGAATATAAAAAGCAAACTAGCAACACCAAAAAATGAACAAATCAAACCAAAAAGTAGATTCAGTGAACAGAGTAGTGGTTAGCAAACAGGAAGATGTGAAGGTAAAGGAGTGAGACATGGGTAAAGGGGATCAGTGGTTCAGAGATGAATGGAAACTAAATTTCTATTGACAAGCATGCTATAGAGTTTGTGGAAGTAGAAATATAATATTGTATGCATAAAAATTATATACTATTATAAACAAATGTGGTGGCAATGGAAAAGAAACTTTAAAAATACATGAACAAATGCTTGTAAGATATTAAAAACACATATAAAAATGTGGCCTTTTTATTTACCTAGATGGGGATCAAACAATGTTTATTTTTCTGTGACTTATCTTTACTACATAATAGTAGATGTTTTAGGATATTCCTTTTAAAAATAGACTTCCCACTTCGTCTATCAGTAAAATACATGCAAACAAAAAGAGTTAGCTTTAGCTGCCAGTAACATTTTCTAAATGCTAAATATGAAAAAATTAGTGCCCCATTTAGCACAGAATATGTACTTTACTATGTTCCTTGAGGTTGGTGTTTCATATGGAGTAGAGAACTAGTACTGAACACTATTTCTATCCTAGAGAACAATTCTTATATTGCTTGTCTCTTTGATAAATTGTTAAAAGTTGAGGATCCTTCACCCAAAAAGTCTCCATGTACATAGTTTTGCATATTTTGCCACTCTAGGGTTTTGTTCTTAAAGCCCAGCCACAGATCCCAAATTAAGCACCACTGATTACAGACAGTCTAAATGGAAAATGCTGTCTCCGTTTGTATGTACAGCTAATTCATGCATGGCTGTGCTGATGGATTTGAGTGTAGAAACTGCCCCTTCATTTTTATTGTTACGGAGAATTTCTTCCCTCTCCTCATTGCCATCATCTGTTGTAAGCCCAAAGAAGTGACTTAACCCTCTTTCTCTCACATCAGTATTCCAGATCTGCGCCTCAGTCTTGCTCCCATATTGGTTTACGGGTTGCTCTGTGATGACTATTTTGGGGCAGGCAACTTAGCGGGAAAGAGGAGGGAAGGGGAAAAGGAGCCAGTGAGGGGACTTCATCCAGTCTCCATGCCTTGTTTCCCCTTCCTGCATGGATTTTTGCCTAAGACTGGTTTTACAAGTGAAAGAGAGGGGAAGGCAAGAAGAGAAAACCTCTTCCTAAGTTATGAAATCACTTTGGTTGAATTATCCATAAGTTTATCCAACATGAGGTAGATATCTTAGACAAATGTTACTCTGTTCATCCATCATACCTTAACAAAGCATTTGAGAGTTGAACAAAATGATATTCCAATGTCAGCAAGACTCCAGCTGTCCTTTAGAGCTGCTCCAGCATATGTCAGCTCCAGATACCTCCTGCCTTGTTCATCTTCAGAGAGAGGAATGTGGAAATAATCCTTTAAAATCAATAGCATATTATGAAGACAGCACATCTCTACATTACTAGACCAGCCATGTAATTTCTTTTCTTTTACATTTTCCACTGAGTATTATAAAATTGTTTGGGAGAGAAGGAAGAAGTCTTAGACAGGGGTTCTTAACCTGGGGTCTTTAGACATTCCCAAAAGTTTATGGATGGAATTTAGATTTATGGATGGAAAATTTATGGATGGAAAAACTGTATTTGGTTTTTAACTCCAAATAAAATTGGAATTTTCCTTATGTATATAGGCGACAAACTAAAGTAGCCATAATTGCCTGTTCCTGTGGCTTTGTCACCAATAGAAATCACAGATAGCTTCATATATCATTATAGTTGCTGCAGATATCTCAAAATATTTATACTGGTCTCCTTTGAAACTGTAATAGTTATGAGACACACTGCAAACGCTTGTTGCTGTGTTAATAAGGAAACCCACGTGTCACCGATTTGTTTTCTAATTTTTGAAAATTGTATTCCAATACAACTGGTTTCCTTTTTGTGGATATGCATTTTATTTAATGCATGTAAGAAGGAGTCCATAGGCTTCACCAGACTGCCTAAGGGATCCATGACACATAAAGGTTAAGAGCCTCTATGCTAGAAGATCTAGATTTTAGAGATCATAGTAATTACTAAATATAATATAACTATGATTCAATAAATGCTCCTCAGCAAATGGGAATAAATCGTGTCCAGTTAAATACCATTTGATGGTCAGTTCCTAAATATTTGTCTTAATTTCCCACTTTAGAGTGAGTATTGTGAAGAAACTTTTAGGAAAAGTACTGCACCCAAATTATTTCTTATTCTGGCTCTGTGATCCAGGTTAAATGGTCAGCCTCTCTGAACTGCAGTTATTCCTGGATGCAAAATGAGACTGTAGCCCCAGAGTCCCCTCCACATCCCAAGTCCTTTGGTTCTTTATAGTTGCTTGCTCAACACACAAGCCATTGTCTGATAACTGGCCTGTTCTACTTGCCCAGCCTAGAGTTAGTATTTTGTTTTTCTCCTTTTGTGAAGAATTGCAGTAATACTATCTGGCCAGTGCACAAACTTATGAATCTTATAAAGAGAAGTTAAACTTTTTTTTCCCCTGAGAATTTTCCTGTCTAACATATTTACAGTTAACATCATCCAACAAATGATTATGTAAGCAAACAATGATATTTTCAAGTAGTTTTACTTCCCTGTTTGCTAAAAATGTACCCAATATTATCTTTGCCCCACATACAGTTTAAACTTCACTGCATAGTTAAAATTAATACACATCTTAGTGGCTCAGGGACAAAGTACGTACCTTTATCATCAGCTTGACAGCCTCCACAGTTTCATCTGCTGAAACATCAAATGGTTCAAAAGATCCCTCAAAGGCTATGAAAATTCTCATTTTCTCAAAAGAAGAAGCTTTTCCCCAATTCTACTGTATAGCTGGGAGAATCCCAATTCACAGTTAAACACGACGGCCGGGGCCACTCTTACTGCCAGCCTCAGAGGCGAGCTGAGAGAACGTGGCGCGTGCAGCCGTGCAGTACCACCGTCCCGGGTGACGCTGGCCGCAGCTCCGGTGGAGGAAATGTATCTCTGCCGACAGCATTAGTCAACAGTCCTCTATTACGGAAACCAGCATGCTTGACAATGGTTGAGGCAAATGTGAACAGGTGTCAAGCATGTAACACAAAAATGTCACATGAATTCTAATTTGTGATGTGACCACCGTCCACTGACCCTTGAATCCAAATTCACCCAAGTACAACTGATCAAATGACCCTTTGAAAGAGATATTTGATTGGGATGCTTTGGCACAGAGTAAAGCAAAACAGCGTTGATCTTCTTGAATGTGACCATCCTGGAAGTTCTCTGTAAATAACTCTGAGCTGAAGCATTCTGGTTTCCATAACAACTTTGTGTACTTGCTCCCCAGGGTATTTCTAATCCTGCCATGGGGTACAGAACAATACCCACTTGCACCAGGGAGATGAATGTGTAGGCAAATGACTCTGTGGTTTTCCCTTCCCTGCATAATGGGATCTGCCCAATAACAACACAATACAGTTGGTTATTTCTTTTAGTCCTTGCCCTTATGTTATTTAGAACAATTTACCATTGTTATCTCCTTCAACTTCCCTTAGTGTTGGTGGAAAATATTTCAAACCCCTCTCAAAAAAATGAGCAAACATATTAAGCACTATTACTCAAGTGTATAGAGTAAGCATTTTACTGGAGCTTAATCCTGACTCTCCTTTGAAATCCACAGTATTATACACCTTGTTTAATGTTATTACGTCTGATCATTTTTTCATGTACATAAATCCTGTTATCTTCCTGAAATTCCCCCCAATCTAGGACAGAATCCCTATCTTACATTTCTTTTTACTCTTAACAGCACTTAGCATAATGTCAGTCACATGATAGGTGCTCAGCAAATTTAACTCGATTAAGTCTATTCTGATTCCCAGTCTGAGTTCCAATGGTAAGAAACTTGAGAAAACAGAAGACGTAAGAAGGGTAAAGGATTTCATCCACAAACTGATTATTTTGCCCCATATTTTTTGTGTTGCAACGTGATGATATCGTCTTATGCTTTCAACATTTCAATTGAAAGAATATTAAGACAGGACGTAGTTTTAACACTGTTTTGGTGTTTTGCTTACACACCCTCACCCCCTCCAGCTGCAGTTACTGTTGACTGCTAAAGGCTTATAGCTACACCATGTTTTCCAAAGAATTGCCCTCAGTTGATGGGCGCTGTCTTGCCAGGAAAGCTAAGCACTCCCTTCAATAATTGACCTCAGAAGTCATTTTGTAGCCCACTGTCTTACATCAAGGGGTGAAAATTCTGCAAAGGATCCCTGCAGAACAGGCCATAGCTGGACTTTAACTGAGATTACATTCTTCCTTAGCTCTTTCTTTTTTCCCAATCCTGCTTAATTCTCTTGCTTACTAAGGTTTTCTTTTCTTTTTATTTATTGATTTATCTTTGGCTGCTCTGAGTCTTTGTGGCTTTGCATGGAGTTTTCTCTAATTGCACTTCCCTGGTGGTCTAGACAGTAAAGAATCTGCCTACAATGCAGGAGACCCAGGTTCAATCCCTGAGTTGGGAAGATCCCCCAGAGAAGGGCATGGCAACCCACTCCGTATTCTTGCCTGGAGAATCCCATGGACAGAGGAGCCTGGAGGGCTACAGTCCATGGGTCACAAAGCGTCAGAGATGACTAAGTGCCTAACACCTTCAGGTTTCTCTAGCTGCTGCGAGTGGAGGCTCCTCTGCGTGGTGGTGCCCGTTGCATTGAGCAGGCTTCTCATTGCAGTGGCTTCTCTTGAAGCTCAAGTTCTAGGCTCACAGGCTTCAGTATTTGGATCACATAGGCTCAGGAGCTGTAGCTCACCAGCTTCGTTGCTTCACGGCATGAGGAATCTTCTTGGATCAGGAATCAAACCCATGTCCCCTGCATTGGTAGGCAGATCATGATACACTGCGCCACCAGAGACGTCCCAGGTTTTCTTGAAGAGTGCTCCCTCGGTAACTGGCACACATCCCAACCCCTGTCTCAGGCTCTGCTTCCAGAGACCAACCTAGGGCAGAGAATCTCAAAGGTCATGCGTGCATGCTAAGTCACTTCAGTCGTGTTCAACTCTTTGCCACCTGTGGACTGTAGCCCGCCAGGCTTCTCCGTCCACGGGATTCTCCAAGCAAGAACACTGGAGTGGGTTGCCATGCCTTTCTCCAGGGGATCTTTCCGTCCCAGGGATCAAACCCGCTTCTCCAGCATCTCCTGCATTGCAGGTGGATTCTTCACAGCTGAGCCGCCAGGAAAACGGAAGGAAGCTCATATGCGTTAAGAAATCACAACCAAGTACTTTATAACTTCCTGAGTGGCTTGCTTTCTTACGCATGTACAGTTTTGTCTTCTGTAGTGGACTTGCCTTTGCAGTAAATGCTCGGCTCTGGTAGGCATGACCGGCCCCTGGTCTCGCTGGTTGCCCGGCCCTGGCTTGTGTGGAGCTGCTGGCTACTGGCTGGTGGGCTGGGTCCTGGGGTGGCTGGCTGAAGAGCCCCAGGAGGTGCCAGGGCCAGTGCTGTCCCACTGGGGGTGAAAACTGGTTCTGAAGTTAGTGGCTGTGGGGCCAGATCTAGCGTTAGACCGCTGCTGGGTGGGTGGGCTCATTTCCTGACACGGCTGACTCTGTGCTCTGGGGTGTCCTAAAGCGGGCGCTGGCCTACGGATGAGTGGGCTGGATCCCAGGGCAGCTGGTTGAAGGGTCCAAAGTGTCTTGGAACTGGCACTGTCCTGCTAGTGGGCAGAGCTGAGGTCCAGGGGTTTCCGGGGCTCATGGCCCCTGGTGCATGAGGCTGGTCCTTTGGTGGTGGACAGAGGCCTGCAGTCGCTGGCTGCAGGGAGCCTGGGCTCTGTCTGTACCCTTGCGTGTGGGGTTGAGTCCTGAGCCCTCTGATGGACCAGGCTGTGCCCAGGGAGAGTGTGCACTCAAGGGTTCCTTTAGGCCGCCTGCCTGCTGCTGGGTGGAGCTGTGGTCCTGCTCAGCCAGTCGCCTGGCCTGAGGCATCCTAGTATGTACTGGTGTTTACTGTGCCTGTGGGTGGGGCTGGGTCCCAGTTTGGGTAAGCTAGAGGGAGGAGTCCAAAATGGCGCTTGCCAGCCCCAGAGGCCTCCGGGTAGAAGGGAACTCCCAAAGTGGCTGTCACCGGGGCGAGCTTCAGCTGCTCCTGACGCTGGGAGACTCTCCGAGGTCAGCAAGGGGGTCTGACCCGGGCTCCTTTCAGGTCACTGCTTCTGCTCCGGGTCCTGGGGTGTTGAGATTTTGTGAGCCTGCTTTAAGAACGGAGTATCTCTTTCCTACAATCCTCTGGCTCTCCTGAAAATAAGCCCTCTGGCCTTCAAAGCCAGACGTTCTGGGGGCTCATCTTCTCAGTGTGGGACCCCTGGGTTGCAGCCTGATGTGGGACTGGAAACCCTTGCTCCCCAGGGAGAACATCTGCAGCTGTCAGAACCTCGCAGTTGTTGGTCACCTGCCCAGGGGTCTCGAGTCTTGACCACAGTGCATCTCTACCCATCTCCTTGTGGTTCCTTCTTTATGTCTTTAGGAGTAGACCATCTTTTCTGCTAGATTACAGCCTTTCTCATCTATAGTTGCTCTGTAAATTGTTCTAATTTTGGTATGCCCCTGAAAGGACGTGAATTCAGGGTCTTCCTACTCTGTCATCTTGGCCATCCAGCCAAAATGTTCTGACAAGAGAAGTAAAATTGAAAAGAGCAAGTAAAATTACCCCATCATAGAAGACATAATTATAAACCAGTAAATCATGGCAATCAAAAATTTTAAAAATGTTTATTTATTTATTTGGCTCTGTCAGATCTTAGTTGCAGCAGACGGCATCAATCTTTCACTGAGGGACACAGAGTCTCTAGCTATGGTGCATGGGCTTGGTTGCTCTGTAGCATGTAGGATCTGAGTTCCCGGACCAGGGATTGAACCTGCGTCCCTGGTATTGTAAGGTGGATTCTTAATCACCTTCCCTGGACCACCCGGGAAGTACTGAACTTTTAAGACTACTACAAATAATAAAGTAATTCAACTAGGTGGCTGGATTTATATCAATACACAGAAATTAATAGTTTCCTAGAAACAAATGACTGATATAGAATATAATGGAAGAAAATACTCCATTTATAAGAAGAAAAAAAGATAATATGTTAGGAGTGAACAGCAGGAAACATGTAAGAAATGTATAAAATAAATGTTAAAACTAAACCAATAAACATAAAAGACTTGAAGAAGTGGACTGGCGTACCATGACTTCAGAAGAAAGTTTCAAAACCATTAAGTCATCAACTTTTCTCAAGTGAAAAGTCAGGCGAAGTTGTCAGCTGCTCATATGTGTCCAGCTCTTTCACCATGGATGTAGTTCAACCTGTGGACTGCAGCCCGCCAGGTTCTTCTGTCCAGGGGACTTCCCAGGCAAGAATGCTGGAGTGGGTTGCCATTCCCTTATTCAGGGGATCTTCCCCACCCAGGAATTGAACCTGGGTCTCCTTCATTGTAGGCAGATACTTTACCATCTGAGCCACCAGGGAAGCCTTCTAAAGTTAATATAAAAGTAACTTCCTGAGTTAGTATATAAATTTAAAACATAAATTAAAAAAATCCTAACAAAGTCTTTCCCCAGCCTTATTGAATGCAAAGGTGTACGGTGTAATGGTATATGTATATACCATTTTGAGATGATTTTGAGATGATTACCACCATAAAGTTAGTTAACACACCCATCACCTCACACACTATTTCTTTTAATAGTGAGAACATTTAAGATCTACTTTTAGCAACTTTTCAAATATACGATACAGGACTTCCCTAGTGGTCTAGCGGTCAAGAGTCCAGCTGCCAATGT